TCATCTTTCTCCTGCGGAGCAGCTGGTAGTTTCAAACTGCTGACCTTAAGGTTTGCAGCCCGATTCGTAACCACTACGCTACCAGAGCTCCTTGGATATTATAGGAGCTAAATTTGAAATCCTTGGGGCTGCGTTCTTTAGCTAGAATTGTCTCAAAGCTTCAGGGGATAGTTTTAATTAAATTTTAAAGATGATCTTAGGACAACAGTTTCAGGGGTTCATCTAGTACCCATAGCTCTGGAAAGTCTGGAGTCCATAAGAATTTGAAACTCTTCTATATATTTCCCACTTTTGATCAGGATTCTTCCAGAGAATCTTTCCTCAAAACTTTCAGTAATGGTAGCCAGGTAGCCATGAGACCATCTGGTCTCATGAAAAAGGGTATTAGACACTTATTTCGTATACTCCTTATATTTCTGATTCTCTTTCCTCTATTGGTCAGGTGAAGAGGGACTAATTGTACTTTGAATGGCGTCTTGCAACCTTGTTTTTTTTTAAACTAGGTTGAGTATATATGTAATATATATAAGTATATATGGACTCCTGGTGTGGTGCTATAGTATAAGCACTGGACTGCAAATCACAAGGTCGCCGGTTCAAACCCACCAGCTGCTCCTCTGAAACCCTGTGCAGGGTTGCTAACTTGACAGCACCTAACAACAACAAACATAATAACAAGAAGTATGCCATTTTAACTTCTTTTAAACTCACTTTTGCATTTTGGTTGCCTGCTCCGTACCTTGGTTCCAGAATCTCCTCCCTTCATTTCATCAGCCTACACTGCTTCTAGAGCTATCTCTCTGAGTAGAACTTTCATGATCAATGTAACTGTCATAGTACTACTTTGCTCAGAACTCTTTCAATGTTTGCCCTTAGGTGGTGGTGACAGTTATGTACAGACTCCTTAATCTGGCATTTAAAACCTTTTACAATCTGACTCCTGCTCAACTAAGTACAACCACACACACAAATCACAAGCAGGCTGTAATGACCTGTTGCAGCCACCAAGTGAGTACCACCTGCCCCTGATTCATCTCAGGCTTCCCTCCATTTGAGGCTTGCCTTTTCCCTCCCACCTCCTTTCCAGCCATCCGCTGCCCAGTACCAGCCTTTTTCATTACACTTACAACCCTTTGTTGCACCTCATTGCCAATTTGGTGTCTCCTCTAGCTCCTTGAAGACCTCCCATGGTGCCTCCCATTGACAGACACGACACGACACATAGCTGTTATAGACTAAGTGGACTCTCAGTTCTAGACTTGTGCTAGAGATCAAGTCCATTTCTTTTCTACCCTCCCATGATTATACTACTATTGAGAATTGCTTTGCTAACCCATTATGCCCCATGGCCCCAACCCTGTTATTTATCGCTGTCTTGACTCAGATTTATCTGCAGACAAGTACAACAAATGGTTACTACCCAAGTTTCCTCACACTTTAGGGAGAAAGGACCCTGTCCCTTCCAGGTGTTTTCTCTAAGTAACTCCAGAATTGCAATAGGATCCCCTAGAGTTCTGCTTCCAAATCTTAGTCTCTATGGAAAGGGGAGCCTTCAAACTCAGGCCCCTGAGCATCCTTGGTGAAAAGAGAGGGGCTGCCTCCCATTAAGAGTAAAGAACCAGGAGGGTGAAGAGGAGGAAATGGGATTCAGGTGTTTGGGGAAAAGGAGGATGGAGCCAAACATTACAGACATACCACAGTGTTACACTTTATTGCAAGTGCTTTAGGAGAGAGGAAGAAAAAAAAAATAGTAGAAAAAGTAGACAGACTTACCACAGTGTTACACTTTATTGCAAGTGCTTTAAGAGAGAGGAAGAAAAAAAAAAAATAGTAGAAAAAGTAGACAGACATACCACATTGTTACACTTTATTGCAAGTGCTTTAGGAGAGAGGGAAAAAAAAATAGTAGAAAAAGTAGACAGCCTAAAAGAGAAAGGGGTCAGGCCCCTAGTGGTGTCAGAGCTGTAGTCACAGGGTTGAACAACCTGTACACCTAGCATAGGCAGTGGCTGTGGGAGAGGAATTCTAGGGCGAGGGCCTTGAGTGGACCTGCTGCTCTGCAAAGGACTGGAGCGGGTCAGTTGTCCTTGCTCAGTAAGGGGAGGCTGTCGGACCATGGGGAGGGGAGGCCATGGGGGGAGCCACCTCTTTGTCCCTGATGCTGCCTTCCAAAGTCATACTCCCTACAGCCCTCAAGAGAGACAGCATGATGGGAATAGTAGCTGGGATATGAGAGAGAAATCCCTTAAGGGGGTTACAGCTGGGTGCCTGGCCTTCCACCTCCTTTTGCGCTCTCCTCAGTTCCAAATCTTGAGGAAGCTGTCCCAGGAACCAGTGGCCATAGCCATTCCATCAGCTGTGAGCCCCAGGCAGCTGACCCTGTTGTTGTGTCCAGAGAGGATGCCTGAGGAAGAGGAGAGGGGGTCAGCCTGTTACCCACACTGCTGTCGAAGAAAGAGTGTGTGTGTGTGTGTGTATAGGAATCCCAGGTAGGTAAGCTGGGCAATGAGCTCTTTAACACCTGGAGAAGACTGAAGAGGATCACCCTGAGAAAAGGGATTTCATTTGAGGCAAATCTCTCAAGAACTCCAGATGGATGGGATGGGGGAAAGGCTGGTGGCAAGGAGGGGCAGAGAAAGGGTGGAAGTACAGGTGTGCTATGAGCAAAGCAAGGGGGCAGGGTGTTATTTCCACACCTCAAAGAATCCTATCCCCTTGTTTCCAGATGAAGAAACTTGACATCCAGAAACTCATTCCAGGACACTCAGAAATTAAACAGCAGAATTAGGATTTGGACCCTGACTCGGCCAGGGTTATCTTCATTCAGCACCTAGCCTCTCCCAAGAGAAGCATTTATACTACCTAATGTAGGCTGAGCCTATGTATGCCCCTAGGTTGGGATCTGGGCCTGCAGGTCACTCCCAATCTCTGAAACATCAAGAACCCAGAACTGACAGTACAGTCAAAGTTCACCACTGTGGCTGACAGCTTTGCAGGGGCAGCGATGGCAGTGGGCTGCTTAGAGCAACTGTTCTTTAAGGAAAGCTGGTTGGTTTGGGAGCCAAGGGCTACTGGATTCTAGGGTTAGGTTTCAGTGTTACCCAGTCATTAAGGAGAGCAGTAAGCAGGTTCTAATAAGGGGCTGGTATGAGGGTACAGAAAGGGGAGAGTTCTTCCAACTGAGATGGCAGTAGGTGGGACTGGCCCTTACCCACACGCTCGCCCTTCATGGAGTCCCAGACATTGCAGTTGAAGTCGTCATAGCCTGCTAAGAGCAGGCGGCCACTGAGGGAGAAGGCCACAGATGTGATGCCACAGATGATGCTCTCCTGGGAATAGGCAATCAGCTCCTGGTCAGCCCGCAGATCAAAGAGGCGGCAGGAGGCGTCGTCTGAGCCTGTGCAGATGGCCTCTCCATTGGGGAAGAACTAAGGGGTCAGAGGTGGATGGGAGCTCAGAGCTCCTACCCACTCCCTAACTCCCACCCTACACAAATTGCTTTCCTTTGCCCCTCTGCCTGTCCCTTCCCCAACACAGGATGAGAAGCAGCCACCACTTCACATCATCATTCACCGCTAACGCTAACATTTCTCACACGTCAGCTGCATGCCCATGGCTTCCCCTACACTCCCTCATTTGCTCCTCACAACAACATGGCAGGCAGGTAGGCATCATTTCCAGGTAGCAATTGAGAGCAAGCTTGGCAGCTTACCCAGGGCCAGCCACTGGGCTCCTACAACTTCACAAGTGGGGCTCTATCAGGGTGTAGATCAGGGCCAGGTGAAAATTTATAGTTTTGGAAACCCTATGGCCACTATGAGTCAGAATCAACTCAATGGCAGTAGTTTGGTTGTTTTGTTGTTTAAAGAGATAACTGTAAGGAAATGCGATACGTGTTATTAGATCCTGGACAGGAAAAAAAAAAAAAAAAAAGGCAATGTTATTGAGATAATGGGTGAATTTTTAATATTGACTCTTGATTGTAGTACTCATATAATATCAATGTTAAATTTCCTACTTTTAAGAATTACACTCCTATAACTTATTGGAATACCTAAAAGGGGTTCTAGAACTTGTCCAATGAAATAGGCCTCCTGCAGAGCCTTTGCAGTGTATAGGACTTTAGATGGAATCCTGAGTCCCATCCAGAACCTTCTGAGGTGGGACATTCCCACTAGAAAGGACAAGCAGACCAGCCTGAAACAGCTAGAGTGACAGAAGATACATCTTCAAAGAAAGATCAGCAGGAAAAATCCAAAACAAAATGGCAGTATGATTGGCTACTACAAGAATAGCAAGTTGTTCACTGGGAAGCCATCAAGGCAAGCAATCAAGTCCCTTCAGGACAAATCCCCCTCTAAGACTGAAACTCAAAGGGAACACATGAGCAGGCATGCTGGCGACCACATTGGTCTACTGGTTAATGGAAGAGGGAGAAAGGCAGCAATGAAGAAAAGGGCTGAGTTCAGCCACGTTCCATAGACTCCCGTGGACCTAGAAATGAGAGAGAGAAGAGGAAGGACAGGTTGGTCCAAAGTGTGGTGAGACCTGGGGACACCTGAGCCCATGGACAAGGACATAGCTGCAGAAGGCTAGAGCTGAGAGTGAAGCATCCAGCTGATATGAAGTGAGGGGAGATGCACAAGAATATCCAAACTTGCAGATAGTACCCATTTGACCTAACCTTGATGACCTGATAAGCAGAACTCGACTAGAGGAAGATTAAAAAAAAAACAAAAAACAATTTCTGATAAACGAGGGTAAATTGCTATAATTTGATGAACTTGACCTATACTCATGGAGGTAGTAGCTCAAAATACCAACAGAGAGGGAAGGAGTCTTCACACCAAGTATCAATACTATCTCCTCTGTATACAGGGTAGATAGAGAGGGGCAACTTAGACATTGGCTACCTAAAATAAGGGGGGATAAAGGCATGAAATGACTGGCTTACAAGGTTTCAAGAGGGAATTTAGTTTAAGAGTGTGTGTGGGAAGATAGAGTCCCTATTGAATAGTTTTCACCTTGTGATTCAATAGTGAGTAATTGTTATTATGACTAATTGCAACTGTCATAATTGTAAAGGTAGAAGTTTTGTAACAAAAACGGGGGAGTAGTTAATCTTACAGTCCAGAAACAGAGGACCCTAGGACTATCAAGGAAAAAGAGCACAAGTGGAATGCGGGACCTTATCCAGAGAAGCAGTGATACCAGAGATGGGGATATGGAGAGAGGGAGCAGCTGAAGACTCATGGGAAGAGAGGGACTGACAGCTGGCAACCAGGAGTTCATGCTTGCAGAATGTGCCTAACTGATGGTACATGGAGGGTATTATAATCATTGTATTGAAACAAAATATATAATTTGTTGATTGTAAAACTGATGATCTGCCCTGTAAACTTTCACTCAATTCACAATAAAAACTTAAAAAAAAAAAGAATTATACTGTGTGTTATTTAGGAAATGATACCAAAATATTAAAAGGGTAAATAGGCATGGTATCTACAATTTACTCTCAAAAGGCCTAGGGGTGAAAAAAAACAAAGAAAGAAACTATCTACATCTCAGGAGAAAGATGAAGTTGTCTGTTCCTGTAAGTCTCGGAAGCCCTATGGGGCTGTTCTACTCTCTCCTAAAGGAGAATCTCAATCAACTCAATGGCGTGGGTTTGGGTTAGACTTTATGTATATATCTATCTAGCTCTCTAAGTAGAGAGGGTGAGAAGACAAAGTGATCAATGTTAACTGTTAGTGAATTTTAAGTGTGGGCCAAGGGCATATGGAGTTCTTATTTGTAATGTGAAATTATTTCAGACTAAAAAGGCTAGGGAAGCTGTGTGGAGCCCTGGTAGCACTGTAGGATAAGCAATGGACTGTTAACCTCAAGGTCAGCAGTTCAAACCTACCAGTCGCTCCTCAGGAGACATATGGGGCTTTCTGCTCTTGTAAAGAATTATAGCAACAGAAACCCTATACAGGTTTTCTATGGTTCACTATGAGTTGAATCAACATGATGACACTGGGTTTGAGGGGAAGAAGCTGTGTGGGGCAAGGGGGTCCCAGGAGCATGGAAGGGGGCTCACGCAGATGGCATTGATATCCGACTCATGGCCTGTGAAAGTCTGACGGCAGGTCCCCTCCCGCACATCCCAGAGTTTGGCGCTGGCATCACAAGCCCCCGAAATGAAGAGCTGGAAGTCAGGAGAGACAGCCAGGCTCATACAGTCACCGGTGTGTCCCACAAACACAGTCTTCTGCTGCCCGGTCTCAATATCCCACAGAGCACTGTGACAGAGAAGAAGGTAGGATGTCACAGAAAAAAGGCCACACTGGCCCTGGGACAGGACTGCCTCCCAGTGTCAGTCCTCACCACGTGGTGTCTCCAGAGCTGGTCACAATGTTGTTGTCATCTAGGAAGCGACAGCAGGAGAGATAACCTGTTTTGAAGGACAGGCCCCTGGTTGCAGAGCCGTACGTAATCCGCAGGGGACCTGGGACTCCCTGGACCCCTCAGGACTGGAAGAGAGGGTCTGCTTACCTGTGTGAGCAGAAAGCTCCCGGCTGACCTTGACGTTGCCCTCATGGGATTTAAGGCTGTAGATGGAGCACATGTTGTCCAGTCCCCCACATGCCACAAAATTCCCTGATGGGGCATAGGCACAGGTCATGACCCAGGAGGAGCGCAGTGGAATGGCGTGCACCTGCGGGGAGGTTAGGTTTGGGCAGAAAAGGCCCTCTGAGGTGAGTTTCCAAGTGGGCAGGAGGAAAGAAGGGTAGAAACAGCGCTTCCAAGAAGGTGGTCAGGGTGGCAGGTCTGGTACCTTATTGGTGGTGTAGGTATCCCAAACAATCAGCTTTCCGTCTTGTGAAGCACTTACCAGCAGCCTAGGGAAAGGGTACCTGGGTCACCCAAGCATCTCCTTCCTACCTTTCTTCCCCCTCTGTGCCCTCTCAAGCCTCACTTGGAGTCAGTGGCCCAGTGCATAGCATAGATCTTGGCCAGGTGTCCCCTTAGCGTCCGCCGAGTCCGCATCTGGACTCGTCCCACGACTTCTAGGCCAGACACCAGCTACAGAGAAAGCGCTATTAGAAATCAGGTGAGCAGGGGATATCCCCAAGTCTGTGTCATAGCCACTGATCTATACAAGTCGCTGCTGTGTACTCATGGTCAGGCCCCCAACCTTAGAGAAAGGAGTCCCTGAGATTACCAGTGATGAGTTGGTAAATGGTGAACCACCACCTCTCCAGCAGGGGGTGGGGGAAGAGCGAGGAGAGTTGAATGGATACTTTTCATGACATAAAGACTCCCAGCTTGGCCAGTCTCAAGCTGCTAAAATAAGGTCACTAACTATGGATTCAGAAAGAGATACACATAGTGGGCTCTCAGAAGCTCCCCACTGCAACAGGGCCAATTCTTTAACTGAGTCCCCAGGTAACTTGTGGTCCTTTGCCCTGTGAACACTAACCAGTTTTTAGACTTCAGCTGGGGCACCAGAGTCAGCAGACTTAACTTGCATTTACTTGCTTTGTGATCTTGGGCAAGTTACTTAACCTGTTTCCCCATCTGCAAAATGAGACTTATCCTAGCACCTACTTCCCAGGGTCACCATGAAAATTAAATGCCTTTAGTGTCTGGTTCAAGGTACCTGTTTAGTAAATGTGTGCTCCTGTTACTATGAAGATACCATCAACTCTAAGAAGCACAAGGTCACCGGTTCAAACCCACTAGCCGCCCCTTGGAAACCCTATATAGCATCACTATGAGTCAGAACTGACTCCACAGCACTTAACAAGAAGAGCATATGCTACCAACTATACTCAAGGAGTCCTGGTGTGGCGCTGTAGGCTTAATGCATCAGACTACAAAGTCATTTGAACTGCAAGGTCAGTGGTTCAAGCTTACCAGCTGCTCCTTGGAAACCCTATACAGGGCCGCTATGGGTCGGAATTGACTCGACAGCACTTAACAACAACAACATACTCAAGGCATCATCCATTGTTAGATGCATCTTGTATCAGAATGTGGAAAATGGGCTGCAGTAATACATCAGACAACTGTTAGCACCAGTGGCTGGAGGGCTTTGTGATTACAAAGTACGTTCATCACTCTCTTCATCTTCAAGATCCTGCCAGGGAGGTGTACTCACTCGGTTTATGGACAAGAATAGGGACAGTGTCTGAGTCTTGGTAACTTTAGTATCTAATACAGTGTCTAGCCCAGAGCAGTTCTCACTAAATGCTTGGTGAGTGAATGGATGAATGTGGTTCCTCATTCTGAGGACATGCTGTACCTAAACTTCGGTACCTGGTTTATGCTGCTTAAGGAGTGTCCACTCTCACAGTTCATGCTTTGCTCTCAGGGGGACAGGAGGTCTTACCTCTGCCAGAGTACTATCAGCACACGCTTTCCTGGCATCCTAGAGGGGAAGCAGATGTCAGGGGAGGGTAAGGGCAAGGTGGTGGGGGTAGAACAAAACGGGGGGCCTCTGAGGTAGGAGGACTTGGGGCTCTGAGGTTTGAGGGAGTCTCCAATATGAGCTACAAATTCAGGAAATCTGGTCATTTCCATGTCAATGGTCTCTAAGGTGTCACTCAAGAACAAACCCAGCCCCCCAGCCCCACTCCCTCATGTCACTGGTTCTGTTTTCTGGGGTCCTCCAGTGGGAGGGCTTTGGGGTTACTGCAATCTGCTTCTTGAGCTGCTCCGCCTCCTGCCTCAGTTGCTCCATCTCGCCCATGGCTGATGGGTCAAGGAATTGCTCCTGCTAGGAATGTGGGGTGGGTATTGGGGAACCTCTGTCAAGACATGTTTTGTCCCTCACACCCTATCATGGACTCCTTATGAAGGGTGAAGTCCATGCCAAGAAATAGGAAAATGACTGGGGTGCCCACAACCCAGCCCTGCTATGGTCCTCCATTTTAGAATCCTCTACATCCACCCCCAACTCTGCCTAGCACCCCCCACCCCCACCATGCCCCAGCCCCAGGACACCAAGCCCAGCTAGCTCCCTCTTACTTGAACTTTGACTGGATCTCTCCCGGGTTTCAGCTCTGGTTCCCAGGCACCTCCTCACTCTCTTAGCTGCAAACGCCTGCCTGCATGTCACCTGCCCCACTCTGCTGCCAGAGAAGCTGGCCTGGCCTGGCCCCCACTTGGATGAGGGGGAGCTGGGGAGGGGCAGTGGCAGTGGCGGGGTAGGGCCAGAGACAAATGAAATCAGCTGGCAGGGGTGGGGAAGAGAGGATTGTTCCAAGAGACCTGGGCCTGTCTCTGGGGAGGGGTGGGAGCTATCGAGGGGAGCAGCCCCCACAACCAGCCTGAGAGGTTGATGGTTGACAAGGCGCTCCCCTGGTCAGTCTCTCAGCTGGCACAGATAAGCGCATCAGGGCCCTCGGGATTAGAGCAAAGCTGTGAGGATTTAAGGTTGGGGTTTGGAAGGGGTGCAAAGGGGCAGCAGCAACCACAGCTCCAGTAGCTCCCCCCAGGCCTAGCCCTCACTGCTGGTGATGATCTTGACAGTCAAGACCCACCTAACAAGTAGCACATGAGCCAGGAAACACCCAAATGTTGTTCCTTAACTCAGGGTGGTAGGGAAAGGTTGGGGTGACTATAGAGAGGGTGCAGGCAGGAGTTGAGATTAGGAGGGACTCATCTGGATAATCCTCCTCAACAAACCCCAACCAGCTGCCCTTAGATCTACTCTCTAGTAGGGTGGGGTGAGTACAGGGGATCCAGAGAGAAGGGTAGTAGGGCCAGTCCCTGCTGTGCAGGGAGAAAGAAGTACAAGTAGAGGCTAATGCCATCCCCTGCTTCCAGTCTAGAGAACCTGATCTCTGCCTCCCAAAACTCACCAGGTCCTGATGGGGCTGTGAAGGCACGGCTGCCTTGCACAAGCTCTGAGAGGGAAGGCAGGGCTTAGATTTGGAGACCCACAGAGCAGCTGTCAGGGGCTTGGGTGCATTTGCATGAGGGGAGCAGGTGGCTGAGATTTCCCTGACAAATCTCAGGCTTGAGTGGACCTGCCTCTGGGAGGCCTCAAAGACACCTGTCTCCTCCCAGACTAGCCACAGCCACAGCCACCCCCACCTCCAACAACCCTAGAAATCGTGATACACCCAACTGGGCCCCGGCTGAGGGATCTACTTGTTCTTTATTGCACAGGTTGGGAGGGGAACAGGCTTATCCTTCCCATCCCCCTCTCCTCATTGAAAGCAGTCAGTCAGTCCCCTGCTCTTTGCCATTTCTGTAGTGTCCTCTCTCTGTCCCAAGGCTGCAGATTGATCAGCTGGGGCCAGGCCTGGTGAGCTCTGGGCTAGTCTATGCAGTGTCCTCTGAAGCCTAGGTTGGGATGACCCTTGTGGATCCCAAGAAGGTGGGTGTGCAGACAGAACTCTTTGTTCTGCTCTGAATGTCACATGGGCTTCCAGTTGGTCTTGGTATTGAGGTAGCCCTTCACAGGTCACGGCCACTTCCTCAAGGAGCCAGCACAGCCCCTCACAGCTCCTCCCGGACCCGAGGCGGCTTCCCGGACTTGTCTTGGACCCGCTGAAGCCTGCGGTTGGGGGGTTCTGGGGCCGGGTCTCTGCTGGACATTTCTTCCTCCTCCTCTTCCTCAGTCTCCTCTGGCTCCTGTAGTAGCTCCTTGGCCTCTGCCCACTCCTAAGGGTGGTGGGAGAGTCTAGTCCAATTTCCTACAGTCGATCCCATCCCAAACACCCTCCCTGGGGTATGCCAGCCTTTGCCCCTCACTTGTGGACTTTCTCAATAGTTGCTCATCCACCCTTCACCCCCAGGAGAACCCACACCCCTTCCTATCCCTGAAAACCCTCACCTGTTCCCTGTGCTCAGGTGCCCACGTGTGCCACAGTGCCAAGGCGCAGCGCTGTCCCCTTGTCACAGCCCACACACCATGGGGATTCTCCCCACCGGAGCTGAAGGCCACGAGGCGTCCGCAGCGAGGACGAACCTGAGCCTGGGGATGGTGAGGGCAGGTTTAGCTCTAGGAGGCGTGGGCCCTCTTAGGGTGGGATGGAAGTGAGGGGGCACAGAGAGGGTCTACTCTCTTGCCCATCACTCGCCATTCCTTAATTCAGGCACCAGCTTGGGCAAACGGGAAACCAGCCTCAATCTGGAGATAAAAAATGCCAGAGGGAGTTTAGGGGGGAAGGGGCCTCCACCAAGGGTCTTCTGTTGATCTCCCCCTCCCTTCTGCCCTGGGTGCCCTGAATTTTCAACCTTTTGAACCAGAATGGGAAGAAATCTGAGGGTGTGGGTGCAGCCAGACCCTGGGCAGAAGAGGATAGGATTCTTGGAGACATTTTCCACCCTAAGGAGGACCTGGATTATCAGTAGCTGGATTGTTCTGAGTTGAAAACTTTTTTTTTTTTAAAGTTGGCCATGAAATTTTTATGAATAACAACAGAACATTATCTGATACATTGCTAGAAGATAAATACAACAGGTTGGAAGGCACTTAAAATACAATTGGGGAAGAGCTGCTTCTTCAAAGTAGAGTTGGCTTTAATGATCATTACATTAAAGCTCCATCCTTAGCATTAATGAGCTGAAATGGACTGGTATGGTTCACCACGCCAGAAACAAAAAATTGAAAAAGAATGTCATCATATCCATTGTCAAAAAGCATTGAAGTACAATGCTGTTTGTGATAGGACCATATCCATACACCCAAAAGGAAGACCAGTCAACACCAACATTATGTAAATTTACACACCAACCACCAAAGCCAGTGATGATAAAATTAAAGACTCCACCAACCCCTCCAGCCTGAAACCAATCAAACATGCAATGAAGATGCACTGGTAACCACTGGCGACTGGAATTTGAAAGTTGGAAACAAAGAGGATGGATCAGTAGCTGGGGAACATGGCCCTGGTAAGAGAAACAGAGAAAAGATTAAAGATGTCAAGACCCCACTCTGCCTACATCCACAATGAACACTCATGGACGCAGCAGTCAAGAAACCAAACAATACACTGAATCAAACAAATCTGCTGCACAAGACCTCCCCAAAGTGTTCAGAAGCAAACATGTCACCTTGAGGACCAAGGTGTGCCTGACCTATATCACGGCACTTTCAATCATCTCATATGCATGTGAAGAATGCACAACAAATAAGGAAGACTATAGAAGAATCAATACTTTTGAATTATGGTGTTGGAGAAAAATATCCAACGTACCATGAGCTGCCAGAAGAACAAATCTGTCTTGAAAGAACCACAGCATAGCCAGAATGCTAATTGGAAGCCAGCATGGCTAGACTTGGTTTCTGGATCTTTGAACTAGTTGTCAGGAGGGACCAGTCCCTGGAGAAGGACATCATGCTTGATAAAGAGGAAGGTCAGTAAAAATGAAGAGGAATCAGTCAGATTCCTTTACACTAATAAAGACAGCTTTGAAAAGGAAACCAGGAAAACAATACCATTTACAATAGCCATCCAAAAGATGAAATACTTAGGAATATAAATCTAACCAAGGAAACAGAAGACCTATACAAAGAAAAGTTCAAAACACTACGACAAGAAACCAAAATAGATTTACAAAAATAGAATAATATACCATGCTCATGGATAAGAAGACTTAACATTGTGAAAATGTCAACACTACCCAAAGTAACCACCACTTGTCTGTCAGTTTGTCGTACTGTGGTGGCTTATGAGTTGCTGTAATTCTGAAAGCTATGCCACCAGTATTTTAAATACCAGCAGGGTCACCCATGGTGGACAGGTTTCAGATGAGCTTCCAGACGAAAAGAGACTAAGAAGAAGGAGTGATGAACTACTTCCGAATATTTAGTCACTGAAAACCTTATGAACAACAGGGAAATATTGTCAGATATAATGCTGGAAAATGAGCCCCTCAGGTTGGAAGTCACTCAAAATGCGACCGGGGAAGAGACGCCTCCTCAAAGTAGAGTTGACTGTGATGACGCAAATGGAGTAAAGCCCGCGGGACCTTCATTTACTGATGGGGCACAACTCAAAATGAAGAGATACAGCTATAAACATCCATTGAAAATTGGAACATGGAATGTATGAATTATGAATCTGGGAAAATTGGAAGTTGTCAAAAATGAAATGGAATGCATAAACATCAATATCTTAGGCATTAGTGAGCTGAAATGGACTGGTATTGGCCATTTTGAATCTGAGGACCACATGGTTTACTATGCCGGGAATGACAAATTGAAGAGGAATGGTGTTGCATTCATTGTCAAAAAGAACATACTCCAGATCAGTCATGAGGTACAACGCTGTCTGTTATAGGATAATATCCATGTGCCTACAGGGAGAACGAGTTAATACTACTATTATTCAAATTTATGCACCAACCACTAAAGCCTGTGAGGATGAAATAGAAGAATTCTACCAACTTCTTCAATCTGAAATCAATCAAACATACAATCAAGATGTATTGATCATTATTGGTGATTGGAATGCAAAGGTTGGGAGCAAGAGGAAGGATCAGTAGTTGGAAAATATGGCCTGGGTGATAGAAATGATGCTGGAGATTGCATGATAGAATTCTGCAAAATCAATGATTTGTTCATTTCAAATACCTTTTTTAGACAGCATAAGAGATGACTATACACATTGACCACACCAGATGGAATACATAGAAATCAAATTGACTACATCTGTGGAAAGAGACGAGGGAAAAGCTCCATATCATCAGTGCAAACAAGGCCAGGTGCAGACTATGGAACAGACCATCAATTACTCATATGCAAATTCAAACTGAAGCTGAAGAGAATGAAAACAAGTCCATGAGAGCTTGAATATATCCCACCTGAATTTAGAGATCATCTGAAGAACAGATTTGATACATTAAACACTAAAGAACGAAGATCAGAAGAGTTGTGGATGACATCAAGAACATCATACATAAAGCAAAAAGTCATTAAGAAGACAAGAAAGAAGGAAAAGGTCAAAATGGATGTCAGAAGAGACACTGAAACTTGCTCTCCAGCATAGAGATGTTAAAGCAAATGGAAGAAAAGAGGAGGCCCAAGAGCTGAACAGAAAATTTCAAAGATCAGCTCAAGAAGATAAAGCCAAATATTACAACAAAATGTGCAAAGATCTGGAATCAGAAAACCAAAAAGGAAGAACACGCTCAGCATTTCTCAAGCTGTGGGTACTGAAGAAAAAATTCATGCCTTGCTTTTCGTTATTGAAAGATTCTCTGGGCAAATGATGCAGAAAGTATCAAGAGAAGATGGAAGCACTGAGTAGTATCCTATCTGCCTAAGCAGGGCTGATGAAAGGAAATGAGGATAGGTCTCTTGTGATACAATAGTGAATAATTGTTATCAGGACTGATTGTGAGGGTTGGAAATGCAAGGAGGGGAGTGATTAACTTTTCGGTCTAGGAGCGGAGGTCCCTGGGACCTACAATGGAGAAGAGCGGAGAATGGGACCCTACCCAGAGAAGCAGTGATGCCAGAGATGGAGGCAGAGATGATGAGGTGGAGAGATGGAGCAGCTGGGGACTTTAGGCCCAGAGAGGGAGAGGTGCTGTGTGCTGATGACCAGGGTGCAGGCTTGTAGTGTAAACCGTTTGATTGGTTAATGATGCATGGAGGGGATTGTAACCATGGCAATGAAACGATGTATGATAGAATGAATGTAAAACTAATGTTCTCCCATGTAAACAATCACATAATTCACAATAAAACATTTAAAAAAAAAAATCCATTGACAACTAGTCAATTCCAACTCAGAGCAACCCTATAAGACAGGGTAGTTTGGAACACTGAAAATAAATAAGTATTTGGTAAATTAAGTATCTCCAAAAGCATATATTTTATAGTGAAATATTTAAAGAAATTAGTGAAACTGATTTGGAATCACCATGATTAAAATATGACTAAATAATTCAATACTTAAAAAAAAAAAAGAGAGAAGATGGAAGAAATACACAGTTGCTGTACCAAAAGGAACTGGTTCATGTTCAACCGTTTCAAGAGGTAGCTTATGATCCAGAGCCAATGATACTGAAGGAGGAAGTCCAAGGTGCATTGAAGGAACTGGCAAAGAACAAGGCACCGGGAATTGATGGAATAAAAATTGAAATCTTTCAAGAAAGTGAGGTGGCACGGGAGGCACTCACTCATCTCTGCCAAGAAATTTGGATGACAACTATCTGGCCCTCTAATTGGAAGAGATCTGTATTTGTGCCCATTCCAAATAGAGGTGACCCAAAGGAATGTGGAAATCATCAGACAATCTCTTCCCCATGTAAAGTTTTACTAAAGATAATATAGAAACATCTGCAAGCATACATTGACAGGAGAACTTACAGAGGTTCAAGCTGGATTCAGAAGAGGCCGTGGAACAAGGGATATCATTGCTGATGTCCCATGGATCTTGACTGAAAGCAGAGAATATCAGAAAGACGTTTACCTGTGCTTTATTGACTATGCAAAGGCTTTCGATTGTGTGGATCATGAAAAGCTATGGACAACATTGCAAAGTATGAGTATTCCGGAACACTTAATTGTGCTCATGAGGAATCTGTACTTGGACCAAGAGGCAGTAGTTCAAACAGAACAGGGGAACACTGGATGGTTTAAAATTAAGAAAGGTGTGCGACAGGGTTGTATTCTTTCACCATACTTATTCAACCTGTATGCTGAGCAAATCATCAGAGAAGCTGGGTTCTATGAAGAAAAACGTGATATCAGGATTATAGGAAGACTCATTAAGAACCTGTGATATGAAGATGATACAACCTTGCTTGCTGAAAGTGAAGAGGACTTGAAACATTTACTGATGAAGATCAAAGAGCACAGCCTTTGGTATGGATTACATCTCAATGTAAAGAAAACAAAAATCCTCAGCACTGGACCAATAAACAACATTCTTATCAATGGACAAAAGATTGAAGTTGTCAAGGACTTCATTCTTCTTGGATCAACTATCAATACTCATGGAAGTAGCAGTCAAGAAACGAAACGATGTATTGTATTAGGCAAATCTGCAGCACAAGACCTTTTGAAAGTGTTGAAGAGCAAAGATGTCAGCTTGAGGACTAAGGTGTGCCTGAACCAAGCCTCTCATATGCATGTGAAAGCTGGACAATGAATAAGGAAGACCATAGAAGAACTGATGATTTTGGTTATGGTGTTGGAGGAGAGTATTGAAAATGCCATGGGCTGCCAAAAGAACAAACAGATCTGTGTTGGAAGAAGTGCAGCCAGAGTGCTCCTTGAGGCCAGGATGGCCAAACTTCGTCTCTCATGCTTCGGACATATTGTCAGGAGGGACCAGTCACTGTAGAAAGATGTCATGTTTGGTAAGGTGGAGGGTCAGAGAAAAAGAGGAAGATCCCCAACGAGATGGATTGGCAAAGTGGCAGCGTTGATGGACTCAAGTGTGGCAACTAGTGAGGTTGGCCCAGGACCAGGCAATGTTTCATTGTGTTGTGCATAAGGTCGCTATGAGTCGGTACCAACTCGATGGCACTTAACAACAACAACAACAACCCAAAGTAATCTGTGGATATAATGCAATCCCAATCCAGATTCCAACATCTTTCTTTAAGGAGATGGAAAAACTGATTACTAACGTTATACGGAAAGAGACCTTGGATAAATAAAGCATTACTTAAGAAGAACAAAGTGGGAGACCTCTCACTTACTGATCTCAAAATTTACTACACAGCCACAGTGGTCAAAACAGCCTGGTACTGGTACAGTGATAGATATAGAAATCAATGGAACAAAATTGAGAACCCAGAAATAAATCTTTGACAAAGGAGGAGATAAATGAATAAGACAAAGTATTGTTGTGAAGTGCTGTGGAGTTGCTTCCAACTCAGCAACCTTGTATAGAGTTTCTGAGACTGTAAACCTTTGCGGGAGCAGAAAGCTGGTGGGCCTGAAATGTTGACCTTAAGGTTTACAGACAAGTTCTTATCTTACAGAGCCAATGCATCCAGTCAGAGCATTGTTGTTAAGTGTCGTCGAGTTGGTTCAAACCCATAGCAACCTTGTATAGGGTTTCCAAGAGGCAGCTGGTGAGCTTGAACCGCCAACTTTGTGGTTCAAGCCAATCTTGCAGTCCAGCTCATTATCCTGCAGCGCCATACCAAGATGCTAGTCAGAACATTAGGCCATTAGAAGTTACTGCCTCTCTTTACCTACTCAATTCTAGTCCCTGGTTTCTACCTGCTACTCTCCACAATCCAGGAGTAGGGAGAAAGTAATAATGGCACCTAATTTATAAACTGTCTATTATTGGACTCTTGGTGTGGCATTGGAGGATAAGCACTGGACTGCTAACTACAAGGTTGGCGGTTCAAACCCACCAGCTACTCAAGAAACCCTATACAGGATCACTATGAATTGGAACTGACTCGATATGAATAAATTATGGGGCAATTTGGAACAATAAATTATTCATTCTTTGAGCTGTATTATCTACTTCACTTCTTTCACTAATAGCCCTTTAAAATAGGTACTATTATTATCATTCCATTTAGGAATCTGAACCTCAGAAAGGTTAGGAACCCAAATCTGAACTCAGGTCTAGATGACCCAGCAGTTGACTGTCAACTACAATGTTCATCTTGCTTTGAGGAGGAAGGAGTATTTTCAATCTTCCCAAATGCCTCAGGTCCTGATCACAGAGAAGTTACAAGGAAGGCTGGAGGTCCAGAGGGGAAAGGGTTAAAGTGTCCCCAACCATTTCCCTGCATTTGCCTCTGAGAAGCTTCTGTTTTGAATCCTGACCCTAGAGCTGACTACCTGTCACCCCACCCCCCAACTCCGCCCACATACCGTGACAGTGAGGGCGTTGGGCTCTGTGAAGAACAGGTCCCCACCCTGGAAGTCATCGTTGAGGTAGAGGATTCCACTGCGCAGGGAGGAAGACAGGAGGCAGTGAGACCCTAGCATGGGCCTGCTTTATGGGAAACTTCTCCCTGCTGGTTCCGGGAGAGGCCACCCACCTGTAGTCACGATAGGTGTAGGCTGGGGGCTCCCGCCAGCACTCTCCGGTGTCAGGGTCCAGAACACAGTTGTCTGCGTGCACTGGGTGACTCAGGTCCATGCGCTGCTCTTGCTCGCCTAGATGCAAAGGGGCCTGATTAATGCCTCCGTGCCCCATGCACACCCAACGGCTGCTCTGTGGGCCCACAAACATGGCAGCTTCCTGGGTCACAGCTGTTGAATAAGCCAGGCTCTCAATTGAACAAAGGAGTTAGGGTCTTCCTGGAGTTAGGGCAGAAGCCCACCCTAGTTGGGGTGCTGAGGGTGTGCAGTGCCAGACAGGGGTGTGAAGTTAGGGAGGAGCAGCTGGGGTCCCTGGCAGTTACCTTCTATGGCGCTGCGGCATACCAGGTGTGTGAAGGACAGGTGCAGGGGCCGCTCTGGAGAGAAGTAGGCCTCCGTCAAGGTCCGAACACGCTCACTCACTTCCAGAAGCAGCTTAGCACCCTGCCTGCCCACAGTCCCAGCCTGGGCCAACTGCAGAGGGCAAAAGGAAGGGCAGGACAGGCATGTGATAATGGCGGGGGTGGGCTCGGGGTGTCCCAGTCCTAGCCCCTGCCCTATTTCCACTGTTTTCCACAATGGGTTTGGAGACTCTCATCAACCAGCTCTCTCCCTCAGTCCAAACAGATCCCTCCCTCACCTTAGGACAACACCCCTTCCCCAGGGCTGGACTAACAGCTCAGATACTACTCAGTCCTAGGAACTCCTCCACAAGGAGGCCCAGGCCCTGGTGCCCAGCCTCCTGCACACACTCTTCCTCAGGTATGCACAGCAGACCAGGACACAGGTGCCTCCTCTTACCTGTGCAGCCTTGAGTACTGTGAGCCCCTCAAAGCGTTCATGGCGGGTATGAGGGGAGCGGCGGCCACGATGGCCAGACCTGGCTCCAGCTGCATCCTAAACGGAAAGAATTTACTTCAGAGTCACTCACCCAGCCCACTTCACTGCCCATGGGTCATCAGATCTTCTTCCTGGCCCTCCCACTCCCTGGAAGTGACCATGAGCCCTCACAGCCCTCCTGTGACTCCTTTTCCTGAGTTCCTGCCCTTCCCCCTAGAACGACTACCTCCATGGCAGTCTGTATTGTCACTCTGGTAAAGGTTTGAAATTTACTCACCAAGGGGACTGAGGACAGAGCTTTCCACACTGGGGAGGGAGCTTGGGCAGGGTAAGGACAACTGGGGATGAGGCAGGAAGACCTTGACCAACCATTCATCCCTGATTCACAAATGAGCTAAGAAGAGAAGACTCTCTCTAGAAACAGACCCTCAACAGGGATTTGACATCAGGCCAGGTCCAGGCTGGAAGTTAGGCAAACAGCATCTGTCAGAGTATCATTCTGGCCTCTTCTCACTTGACATTCTCTTGGTAAACCTACAGAGCCCATGCTTCAACTTGTTGATACTGAGTCCCAAATATACAACCACATAAAGAACCCTCACCACTTGAGTGCTTCCCACTATTTGGATGTCTAGAACTAGGGTCGTTCCCTTCCATATTCTTCATTCGACTTTTTGAATCTCAGTTAAAGTATCACTACCTAGTTAAGGTATCACAATCTCAAAAAACTCATCTTTGAGAGACCACCTAGTCATCTGATCTTCTATTCTATTCATTCATTCAACAAATTTGTACTGAGTGCCTACTACGAGCCAGGCACTGTTCTATGCACTGGGGATAGAACTGTGAACAAGACAAAAGTCCCTGCTCTCATGGAGCTTATATTTTGAGATAAAAATTGAAAAAGTAACAGGCAACTTAGACACTGGCTACCTAAAATGAGGGGGCAATAAAGGTATGAAGTGACTGGCTTACAAGGTTTCAAGAGGGAGTTTAGTTTAAGAGGGTGTCGGGGAGAAAGAGTCCCCACTGAATAGTTTTCACCTTGTCTAGATGGGTCTGGTGAAAAGAGATGGGGATAAGATTCTTATGATTCAATAGTAAGTAATTGTTATCATGACTAATTGCGACTGTCACAATTGTAAAGGTAGAAGTTTTGCATCAAAAACAGGGGAGTAGTTAATCTTACAGTCCAGAAACAAAGGACCCTAGGACCATCAAGGGAGAAGATCACAAGTGGAATGCGAGACCTTATCCAGAGAAGCAGCGACACCAGAGATGGAGGCAGAGATGGGGACATAGAGGGAGCAGCTGAGGACTCTAGGTTCATGGGAAGAGAGGGACTGAGAGCTGGAGGCCAGGAGGTAGACTTGCAGAATGTGCCCTTTGGTGATTTAAATTATTATATATGCTTGAGTGTTTTTAAAAAAAAAAAAAAGAGAGAGAGAGCTAAAGTGAATAGAGAGAAATACTGTTATCTGATAGTACATGGAGGGGATTATAATCATTGTAATGAAACAAGATACATGATTTGTTAAATGCAAAACTGGTGATCTGCCCTGTAAACTTTCACTCAATTCACAATAAAAACTTAAAAAAAAAGAAAAAGAAAAAGTACACATGGAAGACCAACTGGACTTAGTCTATCCTAGACAGAATATTTTTGTGAAAATCAACAACTATACAGATCACGCTGATCCACAGCCAGGGTTAAAATCCACTGAGTTAGAATCATGACAAGAAAACAAGTGGTTCAACTAGTTTCTATCCTGCACCTCAATTTGTATTCAATCTTGCAATAAATCTTGTTTCACACTGGAAAAAAATCTTTTTAAGTAAATAAGTAAATGAAAAAATCAAATCAGATGGTGGTCAATGCTATGAAGAAACTTTTAATAGAGTTATAACCTTGAGAGTACTCAGGCAGGGGCAAGGAGCTGCTAATTGGGGAGGTGACATCTCAACTGAAACCTAATGATAATAAGGAATCACCTGAGATTTGCAGATGAAACAGCAATTGTAAACACCTTGAGGCTAGATCTTAATATGATCAAGAAACAGAATGAAAGTCTGATATCTGGGAGTTATATTTGACTCCACCTTCCCATCATCCTTTACATAGATTTAACCCTTAATTTATTGATCTTTGATCTTCTAAGCATTTCTCACTTGTTCGCTTCTCTCCATCTTCTTGAAATGAGACAGTGCTGCTCTGACCTCTCCCCAAGTTTCCTCTGCTTCTAGTCTTTCCTCTCCCATTGTATTCTATATCTGCTGTCATCAAGTCATTCCAACTCATAACAAGAACTGTTTCTTAGGATTTCAGAGACTGTAAATCTTTCACCTCATCTTTCACCCACAGAACTACTGATGGATTTGAACAGACCTTGCACTTAGCAGTCCAATGCTTAACACATTATGCCACCAAGGCTCCCACAAAAATCAACTCCTCCTTAAATCCTTCAATAGCTGTCCAAACTGCCATTGAGTCCTTTTTGGTTTAGAGCAACCATAGCATTTCCAAAGCTGTAAATCTGTATAGGAGCACACTGCCACATCTTTCTCCTGGGGCACCGAGAATGAATTTGAGCTGGCCAGTCAAGCATTTTAACCTCATGCCACAGGGCTCCTTCAATAGTTGTCCACCATTTACAAATGAAGCCCAGCTCCTTGGTGTCTACAGAAGGTTCTTCACCATCTCTCTAATGCAGCCTGATGGTAAAGGGAGACCTAACACTTGCTGAGCACTATGTTTTCCTAAGAGTTTTACTATGTACTAACTAATTAATTTAACATTCACAAAAGTCATGACAAAAACACTATTATTGCCTCTATTTTGGTGGTGGTGCTGTGGAGTCGGTTTCAACTCATAGTGGCCCTGTACAGGGTTTCCGAGGCTATAAATCTTTACAGGAGCAGAATTCCTCATCTTTCTCCTGTGGAACAGCTGGTAGTTTCAAACTGCTGATCCTGAGGTTCACAGTTCGATTCATAACCCCTACGCTACCAGAGCTCCAACTTTTTATTTTACAGATGAGGAAAGTAGGTTCAGAGAACTTAAAACAAATTGCCCAAGGTCACAAAGGTGATAATGACTAGAGTTGGCCCATGCTCTTAATCCCTACATTCAATTACAGTTCCTATAATGCATCATATTCTTCTTTCGTTTTTTATTCTTAAGATAAAGAGAAATTCACTTTTCTTTCAAATAGAAGAGCCTAGCAGTAGGCAGCCTAAGGCTAAAACAGTTATGCATAGTGTCAGGGACACAGATTTTGGATTTACTACTCTGTTGTCTGCTGCATATGATTTCTGTCTTACAGTCCAAAGTGGCTGCTCAAGTGTCATCATATTCACATTCTAACTAACAGAAAGAAAACAGGGACAAGAAGCAGGGGACAAAGATACTTGAAAACTATCTTATAAAGATATTTATAGGAAGCTGCCACACATTAGTGTTTATTATAGTACATTGAGAGTCCTGGTGTGGTACTGTAGGATAAGCACTGGACTACATGGTTGGTTTGAACCACAACGTTGGCAGTTCAAACCCACTAGCTGCTCCTTGGAAACCCTATACAGGTGACTATGAGTTAGAACTGACCTGATCGCACTTAACAACAATAGCAATAGTACACTGGCCAGAACTTAGTTGTTGCTGCTGCTAAGTGTCATCAAGTTGATTCCAACTCACAGTGACCCTGTGTAGGGTTTCCAAGAAGAGGCTGGTGGGTTTGAACCACTGACTTTGCTTTTAGCAGTCCAGTATTGCTTATCCTACAGTGGACATCAAGACGTCATAGAGACTAAGAAATAACTAAACTTTCAGCTAACCGAGGACTGTTGTTATTGTTAAGTGTCATCAACTCAGTTCTGACTCATAGCGACCCTGACAGGGATGGGGAACACTTGGCCCTCAGACCATATTAAGGCCTGCAAAATCATTTGGTCTGGCCCTGCCAAGGCAACTGCAGTTCCAACTATCACATCTGTTGTTGTTATGTGCTGTGGAGTTGGTTCCGACTCATAGAGACCCTGTACAGCGTTTCCAAGGCTATAAATCTTTACGGGAGCAGAAAGCCTCATCTTTCTCCCACGGAACAGCTGGTAGTTTCAAACTGCTGACCTTGCGGTTCACAGCCTGATTCGTAACCACTACGCTACCAGAGCGCCTTAGCTATCACATTAGGGGTGAGTTAATTAAATAAGCAAATATAGTAAGTTAATTTTAAAGTTGATAATCTTGTATGACCCATGAATGATGTTATAAATTTTGGCAGAAAAAAGGTTCCCTACCAGCTGCTCCTCGGAAACCCTATACAGGGTCGGAACTGACTTGACAGCACTTAACAACAACAACAACAACCCCTACTGTATAGGGTTTCTGAGGCTGTAAATCTTTGTAGATGCAGAAAGTCTCCTTTTTCTCCCGTGGAGCAGTTGTTGGGCTCACAGTCCAGTGCTCATCCTACAGAGCCATTGTGCTCCCCAAGGAAATTCACCATTTTTCATGCCTTCGTATTTTTTTGTTTTGTTTTACCCCTGTCACTTTCTAGGAGTCCTGGAGTGGCACTGTAGGATAAACATTAGATTACTAACCACTAGGTTAGCAGTTCAAACCCACCAGCTTTTCCTTGGAAACCCTATATAGGGTCGCTATGAGTCAGAACCGACTCAACGTCACTTAACAATAACAATCACTTTGTAACAACACTTCTTTGTAAAAAACATCCACTTCATGGTCAGTTCAGTCCTAGTGAGAGTTAGCACAGTGCCGAACAGGGGGCAACTTGGTCAGGAGCCAGGGAGTGGCAGCTGTGTCTGAGGGTCCCTACAGATGAAGGTCCATCTACTCACTAGTCTTCTTACCTTGGCCAGCTGCAGCAGCACCCCACACTCGGCTGGGGTGAGCAGTCCATCCAACACTGCTCGCTCTGAGCCATTCAGCTGCCTTGAATCCTGGGTCAGGGTCACTCCCTCAAGGAGAAGGACATCTGAAGAGAGGGACAGGAAGGAGGTGGTTGGACATCCCCTGAAGGCAGGCTCAGCAGTACCTGGCAGCCCCCAGGCCCTCAGATTCCTCTAGAAACTCACCCTTCCAGTGGATCAGGGGCTTTGGTTGTAGAGGCTCATCGTCCCAAGGCCTCTTCTCCAGATCCTCTCTCAGGGGTGAGAGACATGCTCAGTGGATGCACAGGGCAGTATAGATAGATCCATCTTCCCCAGAACCAACATGCCAGCAACCCTTTCCCCCACTTTCCAGCTCAGACCAGGCCCCTCCCACCACAGAGCATCTCCTACCTGAGCTTCTCTCTAAATGCCTCAGGGATGAAAGCCTTTGGGGTCCAGGGGTCCTGGGACAGTCAGGAAAAACTCCATCACCTACCACCCACGTCTAGCCCCTGGGCTCCTTGACATTGACTCTGTACTATCACATGAAGGTCCTCTTTCATCCAGGGGGAAAGGGAGTGGTGGGAAAGGCCTGGACTCACTATCAGGGTTCTGGGCTCTGGATCGTTATCATAACAACAACAACAAAACAACTTAACATAGTTTTCATTATTTGCCTGGTGCTATTCTAACAATTCTGAAGTCCTGGTGTGGTGTTGTGGGTTAATGCGCCAGACTGCAAAGCCGTTTGAACCTCAAGGTTGGTGGTTCAAGCTCACCAGCTGCTCCTTGGAAACCCTATACAGGGTCGCTATCGACTTGAAAGCATTTAACAACAACAACAATTCTAGGAATTCTAGGAATTTAAAGAGCTCTGGTAGCATAGTGGTTACAAATCAGCTGCTAACCTCAAGGTTAGTTGTTTGAAACTACCAGCCATTCCTCGGGAGAAAGACGAGGCTTTCTGCTCCCATAAAGATTTACAGCCTTGGAAACCCTGTATAGGGTCTCTGAGTCGGAACCAACTCCATGACACATAACCACCACCACCCTCCTAAGAACTTACATAAAGAAATAGAATTACCATTCAATAGTCAAACCAGTCCTATGAAATAAGTAGTATTAATGCGCCCATTTTAAAATGAAGGACTCTGAACATTTAAATGAATATGTATTTTTTGTTTTGTATGTGAATATCAAATATTTTTGCTTTGTTCATTTGTGAAATATAATATGTAAAACGGAAGCCACAGAGAGGAACTGTTGTTGCAGAAAGGGGATTGTAATCATTGAGATGCAACAAAGCGTATAATTTGTTGAATGTAAATCTGATGATCTTGTCTGTAAGCCTTCACTCAATTCATAATAAAACGTTAAATAAATAAATAAAACGAAGGACTGTCAGATCACATGGCTAGTAAGTGACACAAATGGAATTTGAACTGGCTTCAGAATCCATACTCTCAACCAGTGGTTCTCAACCAAGGTGATTTTGCCACCCCGAGAGAAGTCCTGGTGTAACGTCAGTTAGTGTGCTGTACTGCAAGGTGGATTTGACCACAAGATCATCGGTTCAAGCTCACCAGCTGCTCCTGGGAAACCCACTACAGGGTATCTATGAGTTGTTTAACAACAGAGGACATTAGGCAATGTTTAGAAACAGTTTTGATTGTCACGATGTAAGTGGTGCTGTTGACATCTACCAGATAGAGGCCAGGGATGCTGCTAACCATCCTACCTTGCATAAGACAACCACCAAAATCCTCCACCCCCAACCACCAACAAACAGTTATTTGGCCCAAAATGTCAACAGTGTACAGAAACCTTGCTGTATGCTATAGATAACCTCTGCCCTTTAGTTTCCTCTTGTGACAACAGGAGTAATAAAAGCAGAAGAGCCTTCCATGTTGTTGTTAGATGGCATCAAGTCGATTCTGACTCATAGTTACCCCACGTGACAGAGCAAAATTGCCCCAGAGGATTTTCTATATTCTTTACAGGAGTAGATCGGCAGGTCTTTCTCCCGTGGAACAGCTGGATAGGTTTGAACCTTTAAGTTAACTGTTGTACCAACAGGGTTTCTTGAGCCTTCCATACTTTACATCAAATGACAGAGTTTCAATGGCCATATGTGATAGGTATTCTAAGTTTGTTGTTAAGTGCCATCGAGTCGGTTCCAACTCACAGTGACCCTGTATAGGGTTTCTGAGGAGCAGCTGGTGGGTTTGAACTGCTGACCCTGTGGTTCACAGTTCAGTGCTGATCCCAGAGTGCCACACCAGGAGTCAAGTAAGGAAATAGAGGTTAGGGAATGTTACGGTCCAGAGCTTATCAATGGCAGAGTAGTGACTGGCATTCAGTCCTACATGACCATGTCTATAAAACTGGATGACAGACTCCCTCTAACCCTCACAAAACCAAACCCACTGCCATCATGCCATTGAGTCAAGTCCTATGCACAGCAGAACCAAACATGGCCTGGTCCTGTGCCATCCTTACAACTATGATTATATTTAAGCCCACTGCTGCTGCCATGTGTCGATCCATTTAACTGGGAGTCTTCCTCTTTTTTGTTGACTTTACACATTACCAGTCCTTTCCAGGGACTGGGCCTTCCTGATAACATGTCGGAAGTCTGAGAGATGAAGTCTCACCATACTGGCTTCTAAGGAGAATTCTGGCTGCTCTTCTTCTAAGACAGACTTGTGCTTCTGGCAGTCCATGGGACTTTTTTCTTTTTCAACACCAGAGTTCAAATGCATCAGTTCTTCTATGGTATTCCTTATTCATTGTCCCAACTTTCACATGCATATGAGATACTGAAAATACATACCATGACTTGGGTCAGGCACACCTTAGTCCTCAAACTGGTATCTCTGCTCTTTAACCCTTTATAGAGGTCTTATGTAGCAAATGTGCCTAATGCAATAAGTCATTTGCTTTTTTTGTGAGTGTTGATTGTTGAACCAAGCAAAATGAAGACTTTGACAACTTCAATCTTTTCTCCATTTATCATGATGTTATTTATTGGTACAGTTGTAAGGATTTTTGTTTCCTTTACATTTTTGAGGTGCAAACCGAAATTCTGAAGACTGTAGTCTTTGATCTTCATTAGTATGTAGCAAGGTTGTATCATCTGCATATCGCAGGTTGTTCATGAGTTTCCCTCCAATCCTGATGCCGCGTTCTTCATATAATCCAGCTTCTCAGATTATGTGCTCGGCGAATGACTGAATAGGTATGGTGAAAGGATACAACCCTAGTGTACACCTTTCCTGATTCTCATTCATTCAGTATCTCCATGCCGCTTGGTCTATTTGCAGGTTCTCATGAGCACAGTTAAGTTTTCTGGAATTCCCATTCTTTGCAATGTTATCCATAGTTTGTCATGACCAGTTGAAAGTCTTTGTATAGTCAATAAAGCACACAAAAAACATATTTCTGGTATTCTCTGCTTTCAGTCAAGATCCATCTGATGTCAGCACATTACCAGTCCTTTCATGCCCTCTTATGAATTCAACTTGAATTTCTCACAATTTCCTGTTTCCTGTTGCATCCATTTTTAAATTATCTTCAGCGAAATTTTACTTGCTAGTGATAACAATCATATTGTTTGATGATTTCCACATTCTGCTGGGTCACCTTTCTTTGAAACAGGCACAAATATGGATTTCTTCCAATCGGTTGGCCAGGTAGCTGTCTTTCAAATTTCTTGACATAGATGTGCCTCCAGTGCTGCATCAGTTTGTTGAAAGATTTCTATTTGTGTTCTGTCAGTTCCTGGAACCATGTTTTTCGCTAATGCCTTCAGTGTAGCTTGGACTTCTTCCTTTAGTTCCGTCGGTTCTTGATCATATGTCAGCTCTGGAAATGGTTGAACACTAACCATTTCTTTTTGGTGCAGTGACTGTGTATTCCTTCCATCTTCTTTTGATTCTTTCTGTTTCATTCAGTATTTTGCCTATGGAGTCATTTAACATTGTAAGTTGAAGCTTGCATTTCTTCAGTTCTTTCTGCTAGGCATGTTCTTCCCTTTCGGTTTTCTAACACCCGGTCTTTGCAAATTTTCATTATATTACTTTGTCTTCACAGGCTATCCTTTGAAATTTTTTGTTCACCTCTTTGACTTATTCATTTTTTCCACTAGCTTTAGCTTCTCTATGCTAACAAGAAAGTTTCAGAGTCTCTTCTAACATCCATTTTTGTATTTTCTTTCTTTCTTATCTTTTTAAAGACCTTTCCCTTTCTTGCTGTATGATGTTTTTAATGTTTCTTCTGGTTTGCAGTCTTTAGTGTCTAATGCATCAAATCTGTTCTTGGGATGGTCTCTAAATTCAGGTGGGATGTATTCAAGGTCATATTTTGGCTCTCATGGACTTGTCTTAATTTTCTTCAACTTCAACCTAACTTGCAAATGAGCAACGCAAGGTCTGCTCCACAGTCAGTCCCTGGCCTGGTTTTGGCTGATGATATGGAGCTTTTTTACCATCTTTTCTCACAGATGCAGTCAATTTGATTATTGTGTCTTCCATCTGGTGAGGTCCAAGTGTTATAATTGCCTTCTATATTGTTTTAAAAAGGTGTTTGCAATGAACAAATTGTTGGCCTTGCAAAAATTCTATCACACAATCTCTAGTATCACTTCTAGCACCAAGGCCATACTTTCCAACTATTAATTCTTCCTCTTTGTTTTCAGCTTTTGCATTCCAATCACTAGTAATTAATCACAATGCATCTTGACTGCGTGCTTGATCAATTTCTGACTAAAAAAGTTGGTTGTTGTTGTTGTTAAGTACCGTGGAGTCGGTTCTAACTCATAGTGACCCTGCACAGGGCTTCCGAGGCTGTAAATCTTTACGAGAGTAGAAGGCCTCATCTTTCTCCCGCGGAACGGCTGGTAGTTTCGAACTGCTGACCTTGAGGTTAGCAACCCGATACGTAACCACTACGCTACCAGTAGAACCCTTCAATTTCATCATCACCGGCTTTAGTGGTTGGTGCATAAATTTCAATAATAGTGATATGAACTAGTCTTCCTTGTTGTTAAGTGTCATCGAGTCAGTTCCAACTCATAGTGACCCTGTATAGGGTTTCTGAGGAGCAGTTGGTGGGTTAGAACTGCTGACCTTGTGGTTCTAAGTCCAGTGCTGATCCTACAGTGCCATACCATGAGTCCGATCTTCCTTGTAGGCATATGGATATTTTCCTATCATAGATAGCATTGTACTTCAAGATAGAACTTGAAATGTTCTTTTTGAAGATTACTGCAATACTATTCCTCTTCAATTTGATGTTCCTGGCATACTAACCCATACGATTGTCTGATTCAAAATGGCCAATACCAGTCCTTTTCAGCTCACTAATGTCTGGGTTATTGATCTTTAAGTGTTCCATTTTATTTTTAACAACTTCCAATTTTCCTAGATTCATACTTCGTACATTCTAGTTCTGATTATTAATGAATGTTTGCAACTGTTTCTCCTCATTTTGAGTTCTACTTCATCAGAAAATGAAGGTCCCTAAAGCTTTGCTCCATTCAAGTCATTATGGTCAATTCTACTTTGATAAAGCAGCTCTTCTCCAGTGAGATTTTGAGTGCCTTCCAACTTGAGGGGCTCATATTCCAACACTATATCTGACAGAGCTCCACTACTATTCATAAAGTTTTCATCTTCTGGTACTATTTCTGATAATGTTCCACTGCTAGTCATTTCAGCGGCTAACCATTCAGAAGGGGTCAGCCTCTCTTTCTTCCTAGTCTGTCTTAGTCTGGAAGAGTCACTGAAACCTGTGTACTATTAGGTGACCCTGCTGGTATTTAAAATACCAGTGGCATAGCTCCCACTATCACAGTTACATGAAAGTCACCACCACAAACTGACAGATGAGTGGTGGATATAAATGTAAACCATCCCCCACCACACCCCCCCAAAAAAAAATCCCACTGCCATTGAGTCAATTCCAATTCATAGAAACCCTTTTTAGGGTTTCCAAGCCTCATCTTTCTCCTAAGAAGCAGCTGGTGAACTTGAACTGCTGACCTTGTGATTAGCAGTTCAGTAGTCCAGCGTTTATCCTAAAGTGTCACCAGGGTTCCTACGGCATCCCTATTATCTTGGGAGCATTCAGGGGTGGGAAGGTGTAATGGGAGAAAATGGGGGTTACTCACAGGATCCTTGAAGCTGGTCCCCAGGTGCTCCATGGCATAGTAGAGCTGCCTCTTCTCCCCTAGGGATCGCAGGATGAAACGCTGGATGTCCTGAGCAGGGGGGCAGGATAGTAGGAAGAAGATATGAGACAAGATGTTAAGTGGGGCAGGGTAGTTAAAGCTGGAGGACAGCCGGGCAGCCCCAGGTTTTTAGAGACTGCCTGCCCCTAAACCCTCACTGTGCCTCTCCATTCAACCTTCCTTCTTCAATAGTTGCAGTGTCTGGGTTCACATGGGTGGAGGCAGGTATGTATGTGTGTGAGTACTTGCTGTGTATGCATGGGTATGAGAAGGAGCAGAAAGTGGACAAGCAGGAGAGGACTGGGGTTGGGGATGGACTCGAAAGTACAGTCTGAAATGGGGAGCAAGGAGTTGAGACAGAAGTCAGATGTGGGATTAGGGACTGGAATATTCTGGTAAGAGATCATGTTATAAATTAAATGTGTCTCCCAAAATATGTGTTGGAATCCTAATCCCTGTATCTGTTGATGTCATTTAATGTAATGTACTTACCTTACATCTAATGTAATAAAATGTAATCACTTTCCATAATGTAATGTAATAAAAAAGTTTAGATCATGTCGGTGTACAGTGGTTACTAAACCTAATCACTTCTGAGTTACAAAAAGAGCAGATTAGACATAGAGGCATGCACTCATGGTTGGAAAGAGAGATTCCATGTGAGGATCTAATTCAAGAAACTAAGGTATGGTGTTAAGCAAGGAACCAACATGGCTGAGACCCTGTTTTGGACTTTTACCCTCTGGAATTCTGAGAAAGTAGTTCTACTCTTTAAAGTTACCCATTTGTGTAACAGCATCACCAGGTAACTCAGATAGACCAGAATGGGGTGGGGGGGGAGGGGGGAGGGGACAGAAGGAGAAGGGGGTGTCCAGGTCCAGGTTATTTCTCAAGTAAATTTGTTTGATTTAGGGTTACTTCCAATGGGGCACATGGGGAGAAGGGTCACCTCTCTTGGTCCAAGTCCTGGTCTTGGCTCTCCCAGCTGGGCCTGGTACCGGTTCAGAGAATTCTTTGCAGACTCATCCTCCGGGTAGAAGAGCAGGACACTCAGGACATTTTCCATAGCCTGGGACAGATTCCCTACTGAAGATGGAGTAATGGGGTGGGATTGGGGGATGGCAGTGATTTTTGGGTAGAGGCAGAGACAGGTGGACAGAGGCAGAGCTGTAGAAGATGGTCTCCCAATGCCAACCAATTCTAACAGCCCCCTTCCCACCTGGCAGACATGCTCATCCATTGCTTCTTTCAATAGCTTACTCAAACATACCTTCGCTGGGTAGAGTTCAAAGAGGAAGAAGAGGAGAAAATAAAGGAAGGGTAGAAGGAGCCCTCCTGAATGTTTCACAACGGCACCAAAGAAGGAGAGCAATTAGAGTCTTCCTGAAGTGATGGTCCCCATGGAACCCTGACAGTAAAACTACAGATCCTGAGACAGATGGGAGGGGTGGAGACAGGAGGCTCAGGATGACATCAGGGGCAGATCGGCATTACCCCCTCCCCCACCATTTTCAATCCCAGTCACCTCAAGAGCACACCCTTCTACAACTGACCCTGAGCATAGGCCTCATGCAGCCATCTCAGCTGACTGGGAAGGAAGTCGGGGACAGGTGAGCTTCGACCAGGACGTGTGGCCATGTCCTCCACACAGCGCTGGCGGCACTGTAGGATCCGAATCCAATGCCCTGCAAAGGACATATATGAGCCATTACACTTGTGTGTGATCCTCCCCTTGGAATTTGGAATCTCTACACACTCCTAGCCCCTTACCTGCAATGGCCTCATAGAGGCCCCCCTGGTTCCCGGTGCCTTCTTTCTCTTCAATTTCCTCTCCTTGCTGCTCTTCAGGGCTCTCACAGCCAGCCCTGCAGCATTCCAGCTGGACCAGGCTCTCCTGCAGGGCCTCCTCCAGTCTGGGCAGTGCCAGTCCTGCCTCCTGACGCCCCAGAAGCTCCAGGCCTGCGTCATAGGCTGCCTGTTGGGGAGGGGTGATCAATCACCTGAGATCCTGGGGGTAACATACATGGTTGTGAAATAGAAGGGGAGTGCAGTGTTGGTCTCATTTGGGGCATGGAATCAATCATGCCCCTCTTCACCTTAGGGAAGGCAGGGGTGGGCATAATAATACTAATAAAAAAATCAAAATGAATCAGTATCTGAGAACACCCAGCATTAGTAACCATCTAGGAAGGAAACTGAGCCCTGGAGTGGGACTCTCCATCCAAGGTCACCAAAGACCTGAACCCAAGTCTACTGATACCCAAGCTGTACAGGGCCACCATCATGTGAGGCCAGTGAATCTAGCCAGCCTAAGGCTAGGGGCAGGCAGAACTAGGGCTGAGGCTCTCACCCAGTGTGGGGGCGTCTCCAGGTCACGGAAGCTCTGGGGATGAACTCCAGACATTCGGCGGTACTTAGCCATGTCCTCTCGCATCTGTATGTGTGTTGGGTTGGCTACAAAAAAGGTGTGTGCTGCAGCAGCTGCCAGGTCCAACTTCTTCATCTGAGTGAAGGGATGATGGAGTCAGTACCCTGAGGTAGGGGTGTCAGACCTCTGCCCTGCTACCAGCCTTCCCAGACCAGACACTCTGGGACAGTCACTGGCGCCTCTGTAAGACTCATCAGTCAGAATGGCCCCACCCTTCATCCTCCAGACCCCTTAGAAACCAGCATGCTAGGACTCTCAGGAATCTGGTATCTAAGGAATGGGGGCCTGAAGACCAGAGTGCAAGGGGCAGAGGAGCCTCATGGTCTCAGTTTGGAAGACAAGGTGAAAGTGATGGATAAGTGGGGGAGACCTGAGCGACGAGCAAAACTCGCAGATCTCTAGGACCCTGAACTGAGGTATGTGGAACCAGTGCCCTCCCATCCCCACCTCCAGCCACGTAGGCAGCAGCAACTAATACCAGTAACTGAGCAGCGTGTACCCCCTCATCCCTAGAAAAGCCAGCCTCTGGGAGCCTTCAGCCTAGCGCTTTTTTCTTTTATAATCTTAAAGGGTTCACGCAGTCCCCAAGAAAAGGCTAATTCAAACCATCTCCCTTAAACTTCCAGTCCTCTGGCAGGTTTCGCCCTCGTCTCTCCGCTGCATTTTAGTCACCTCCACGTTGATTAAAATGATATTTAAGGGCCGTCTATTCCGCCCCGCCCGTGAGTTCTCCCGTTCTAGCTTTGCTCACACCCTCCTTAGGCTTTCCCTTTGCCTTCATCTCCAGAGATTCTCGGCTTGGTCTACAGAGGACTTATTCACTGTAGAGGGCCGCGTACGCCCCCACCACCCCACCCCAGTCCCTGATACCAGCATTCTGCCCTCTCGTGGTGAGCTCCAAGTAGGGCAGGGAGTTGGATTATGCTGGGAACCCCGAAACCACCCCAATGGGCCCGCACCTGGTAATAGGCTCTCTGTAGGTAGTTGTAGGGCTCCCGGCGGCGGAAGGCGTCCCGGAGTGCGTTCCCCACGCGGAGCTGAGCCGCACCCCCGGGGCCGAGCCTCCGCGCAGCGCACTGGGTCAGGCACTCGGCTCGGCGAAGCGCGGCGCGGAGGAGCAGCCGCTCCCAAAAGCCGGACGCCTGCCGGGGTCCGGACTCGGACCCTGGGATGTCGAAAAACACCTCAGGGAGCGCGGCCCCCGGCTCGGCCGCGCATCGCGCCCCGCAGTCCTGCCGCGTGCGGCCCAGCTCCTTCTGGCTTCGCATCGCCTCCCGCAGTAGCGCCACCGCGGGCGCCCAAGCCCCGGCCGCGTAGGCGCGCAACCCATCCGCGTAGAGCAAGTCCGGTGCCTGCGGGGGTGCCCCCGGGGACAGCGGGGCCAGACCTAGGAGCTCAGGGGGCCCCGGGGGCTCAGGAGATCCTGGGGGTGGCAGCAGCAGCAGCAGTAGCAACCGGAGAAGCCGGAGCATGGTGCCAGAGCCCCCGGCCGGCAGCCGAAAGAAAATACGGAGAGTGGAGGGAGAGGAAACGAGGAAAGGAGGAAAGGGGGAAAAGGGGAGGGAGGGAGGGAAAAGGAAGACGAGATGGAGGGGAGGAGGGAGAGGAAGAGAGGGAATCAAGGAGACCAAAGCGACAGATGAGGCCGTTACTGAACCCTGGGAGAGGCCGATGTGAGAAGAGAGAGAATCCGAGGGAGCCTCGGTGCCGGGGCCCTTGCCGGCGCCGAGTGGGGAAAGTGGTTTTTAAGATAAGTGGGTGTAGTATGAAACGGGAAACAGAAAGTGGAGAGCGACTAGCAAAAAGTGAGGAACTGGAGCAGGCCTGGAGCCCTGGAGGGCGGAGTGAGGATCGTGCTTGGAATCTTTGACTGCAGCCAGAAGCTCTTGGTGCGGTGGTGTGGATGTAACTACTGGGGCTAAGCTTCCCTAAACTGTTGGTCTCAGGAAAAGGGGGCGGGGGATGCCACCCCTCCCCTACACACACTGTTAAGAGAAAGAACTCGCTTTAGAATGCGGCATGGAATTGGGAAACTCCAGTCCCCTGGCACCAAGTATGGCTCAAACCCCATCCCAGAAAGTGAGCTCTTGGATGGATTCGGGGGATGGGAGACATTTAGGGCTTTGGGAATAAGCCGCACACTAAATCCACCTCCACAGATCTGAACAAATGTCCCTCAAACCCCAAACCAGCAAACTTAAGCATCTCCCCATGGCCCCCTCCGTCAGCATATGTTCTTATAAGCCTATAACTGTATGTCTATAGGTTTCAGTTTGTGTAATCATTTCTTCATGTGCCTTTCTGTGCCTCTAAAAATGGTGTGGTGGGGATGTCTGGCCTCTTCCTACTTCACAAGGGAAGAACAATCTTTTCGAATCAACAGCTCAAAACTTATTCCTATGAAGCAGAGGTCAGACATACATGCCTCCTATCTATCGCCAGCCTGTTTACTAATTCCTATACCTAGGGAAGGAGCTCTGTTAGCGTAGTGGTTATAAATTGGGCTGCAAACCGCAAGATCAGCAGTTCGAAATCACCAGCTGTTCTGCAGGAGAAAGATGAGGCTTACTGAGTAGCTCCGTAAAGATTTACAGCCTCAGAAACCCTGTTCAGGGTTCACGGCACTTAACAACAACATAGCACCTAGGGAGTCCTAGCCTAGAGCTGTAGGATAAGTACTGGACTGCTAACTCAAAAACTGGCAGTTCAAAACCTACCAGTTGCTCCTCCTGTACAACAACCACAGCATAACACCTGTCCCACACACTATCCACACCTCTGCTAGGTTCACTAATCTATGGCAATGCGCACACAGAACTCACAAACAATACTCATGATGATGGAGTTTATTAGGGAATTAACAGGTTGTAATTCAGGATCAGGAAATAATAAAGATACAGTACTTCAACAAGGATAGCCTCTTCTCAGCTGTGCTCTCAGGGAGGCATCTCTTGGTCCTTTGCCTCTCTGAGTGTCTTTTCCCTGCTTGGGCAAGTCGCAAAACTCTTTAGCTCCAGCAATAAGTGCCCAGAGACACCTCAGTCTGCCAGAAAGCTTTCACCCAAAGGTGCTTTGATCCCTAGCTACACAGGGTCAGTGAACCTAGCTCCACCAAGTACCCAGAATTACACCACTCTGCCACCAAGTCTCCTGTTTGAAAGCACTCGGCTTTCTTCCTTATCCCACTACACTGTCTCTTGCAGATCTCTTGGTTTTGCTTCTGCGAGTTTTCTGCTGCACGTTCTGCTTCCTGTTGTCTCATGCCATCTCTCTCTGGCTCCTGGATCTTGAATGTTCTCAGCACAGGGATCCCAGCTTCAAATAATGAGCTGCACTCTTGTCTCTACTTTTTGGTCGTTGTGGTCCCCCTCCCCTGCCTCATTATTATTAAAATTATTATTATTAAATGGACCATTATTTTTTAATGATGGCACATTTTAATCATAATAGGATGATAAAACTGACCAATCCCCTCATTAGGGTTCCATATAACTTATTTGCATGGCTCCACTCCCTACAAGGGTTCTATGCACCTTATTTGCATAATCCTACCCACCAATCCTTCTGTGAGGGTCACAAAAACCTATTGAGTAATTCACTGCATTGTAAACTCTTTCCATTGCCCCTGATCCATTTTTCCTTCTATAAGTCACTCCACCCTCTGTGCCTCTGACCATACCCTTTGCCACCATAGTACACTGGACACAGGTTTCCATGGTAATACTTCAGACTTTAATACATTTTGCTAGGGGTGATAAAAGGTGAGTAGGACATCTGGTCACTTGAATGGGAATCAACAGGGACCCAGGTCTCCATACCCAGTGCCCATCACCCAAGAGTCTGGAGGCATCTGCCCTAGGCTCAGGGCCATAATGAGATGTTACCTACCTATGCTCTTCCTCTGAGTTCAGCAGGCCCACTTGGGCTCATAGGGTCAGCTGGGAGAATATGGGGTTACCTGGGCCCCAGGATCCTCCCCAAGCTCTTGTACTCCCCTCTCCCCCTGTCAAAGAGCAGCGTCTCCCTGCACTTAACCCCAAAGGAAGTCCAATGGCTCTACTATCTGGGGACCCAAGGGAAAGTCTGCGGGGTGACAATCCCAGTGGCCTGGGCCGGCGAGGAGAAGGGCCTGGTGAGGCAGTTGGAGAAGGCAGAGGTGTCTCATCAATGAAGGTGGTGATCTCTTCCCGGAAGAAGCCAGGGCCCCGTGGGGGCCCCCCACCTGCCCCCAGAATTCCACCCTCCAGGAATTGTCGGAGGCTAGCCAGTCCCCCACTTTCAGCTTCCTCATCCTCCTCATCCTCCAGCCTGCGGTGGTGTCCCAAATACTCAGGAGGGGCCCCCAGGGCCTGGCTCTGAGCTGGGAGGACCCGGATGTCATCAGAGGATGACCACTTGTGTAGGAAGGAGCCTGGTGCCCGAGGGGTAGAGAAGATGTTGGTCTCATCATGGGACAGACGACGGGACAGAGGGACCTGGGGCGAGGAGCAAGGGGGCAAAGGTGGGAACCAAAGTGGGGACTATGCAAGGTGGTTCTATTTCCATGAACTTTTGCAAAGCATCTTGCAGTTCGCAAACCTGGTTCTGTGGGGTCTGAAGGGGAGATTCTCTTTGCATGCATTTCTTTCACCCACCCCTTTGGTGCCCTGAGGATGGCTAACAGAACCTGCAGCAAAATGGTGAGCAAATGCCCAGGGTAGGAGACGTAGTCCTCAGTCCATACCTGTAAGTAGTGGACCCGCTCAAGAGGGGGAAAGAGCATATGCCTTCCAGGCAGCAGCTTCACCTGGGTGGGGTCCCGGCAGCCTGGTCCTGTGGCCCCATTAGCATCAAAGCGAACTTTGCACACTCGGCCATCTGCATAGTCATCACAGCCCCCTTCTAGGAGAGAAAGGGGGCAAAGTGAGGTGGTTATAGGCAGGAAATAGCCAACTCCTTTTGTAAATTCAGGGAGAACCCTTTTGTTCCCACTATATATCTGTAAGTTCCAATTGAACTTTGAGAGTGGCTAGCGTCTGTTGTGTTCAGTGTTGAATCTCTGGTGCTTCATAATGTAGACATTTTTTGAAACAACTACCACTCCTTCTCTCAAGCCCTCCCTATAGATGGGGGTCTTCCTCATGAAACCTAGTCCGCCCTTGGTGTCACAGCCTTCCTTTATGCTTGTGTTAGGACTGTTTCTCAGGTACTCTGCCCGGTGGGGCCAGACCTGTGACAGTATGGACTTCTATAGGGACACTAAGGCCCAGTAAAGGGAGCCCTTAGTGAAAGGAAGCAGTGGATACATCAAGGAAAATGTTGCTTAAGAAAGGGGAGTCCCGAGTCAGCCCAGGGTGGTACAGGTTTTGTCCAGCAGGGGCCACTCCAGAGCAGCCCTTCCCTGCGCAGAGAAGGGGACAGTCAATGCCCAGGAAAGCAAACCCCTGGTCCCTCCTCTGACCGTCATCACCATCCTCCTCAGACATGATAGCCACGCACTGCTCCCACACGGTGCGCACGTCGGCACGGTACCGCTCACAGGACCAGATGAAGGAGGGTAGTAGCAGCGTCTGTGCCATGGAGCACCACAGCACTGCCAGCACCATCCACGGTGGAGCCGAGTCCGATTTAAGGGAGAAGAAGCTCACCACCTAGTGGAAGAATGAGGAATGGTGCAGGGTCAGGGCCCAGAGCCAGGAAGCCTCCTATCCTGGGTAACGCTACTGGTGGGCATGAAGTCAGGCAGGGTGCCTCTTGGATCAGACAAGATGCTACAGAGCCAAAGTTGGAGGTGGAGACAGGTGAACAGAGTGAAAGGATTGACTGACTCTGACTCAGAGGAAGATCAGAGGAGAGTCCTGAAGACAAAGCCCTGGGGTTAGGGGTCAAAGAACAGAGGTGGTGCCAGAAACTTTGAGAAATCCAGGAATAGGGACTAAATGAGGATGCAAAAAGCTGGGGTAGTGGGCTTTCTACCCAGGACTGCTCAGAGATTGTGTGGCACCAGAGGTAATTAGGAAATGGAGAGTGGAGCTAGAGGGTAGATAGTGGAATTGAAGGATGGATGCTGGGGCTGGAGGACAGCTAGTGAAACTGAAGGATGGATGATAAAGTTGAGTAGTGGAACAAGAAAACATATGATGGAGCTGAGTGATGGAATAGTAGGACAAGAAAACAGAAACTAGATGATAAAGATGGGGGCTTAGAAGTGACTGTGGATGGCTAGAGGAGAGGAAGATAGATGATGGAACTAGAGAAAAGATGAAGGAGATACTATATGGCTGATGAAGTTGAAGATCAGGTGATGGTACTGGGGTCTGTATATTAGGGAGATAAGGAGAGGCAGAGGAACCCTGATCTCACCAAGATGGGTACCCCTGTGAGTGAGTCATAGAGAAAGACGATGGCGCTGACTAAGTTGGTGACCTGCAGGGATGTCTTGGCAGACTCAGAGCCGTCCAGTGAGGATCGCCGCTTCCCTCGTGCATCCTCCACCACAATGGCTGGTACATCAAAGGCTGGTCGGGTACCCAAGCCCACTGGCCCGCCCCCCTTGATCCCACCAACACCCCCTGCTCTCCGGGCCTGCCGAGCCCTCCGGGGCCTGGCCCACAGCGTCTGGTAGAAGGTGATGGCCACACAGACCAGCCCCATGACAATGCCCCCAAGTAGCAAGAGGCTGAAGCAGACACCAAAGCCAAGGCCAATCTTGGAGACTATGAATTGGCAGCCACGGGCATAGTAGCGCTCGCCATTATTGTGCCAGCCGATGGAGGGTAGTGTGGACAAGATGAAGCTGACCATCCAGATGCCCATGACTGCATGCAGCGCCTGCTTCTTGGCGTTGCTGAGACGGTAGTTGACGGGCCAACGCACCATCCACATGCGATGGTAGGAGAGTGAGGCGACTGTGAAGCAAGTGGCAAGGGCCAGTGTGTAGTAAGTGGACACAAAGACCTTGCAGATACTCTCGTTCCAGTCATAGTCGGAGGAAGCCTGGCGCCGCAGCTGCACCACAGCAAAGGTGGTGAGGGGTACAGCCGCCATGAGTATGTGTGTGCCCGCTAGGAAGCAGAGCAGCAACTCCAACGGCTTGTGCTTCTGCTGTTTGGCTGAGATGCTGAGGATGATCCAGGCATTGGCCAGCAGAGCCAGCAGCCCACAGGCCAGCCAAGATAACGCGTTGGAACGCAGAGAGGCCTCCTCTGCCCCCACCCCGCTCCGCGCCATCCTATTCTTGGCCCCCCACCCCCACCCCCTTGAACTCCTGGGGGCGGGGGCTAGGTCTCACCCAGGAGCCTCATTCACACACAGACCCATGATGCCCACAATCCTTGCCCTGTTATGAGGCAGGCTGTCCCCAGGCCCACCCCTCTGTTCAGCATTGCATGACTGACCCAGCCGAAGTCAGGTGTGAAGGGCAGGGGAGGCAGTTGAGGGTCAGCAGAGGCAGTCCTCAGCCTCCATATTGGGTCAAGCCCTTTAACTATCCCCTGTGGTTGATGAGGGGGCAAGCTGGTTGCTTTTCCAACTATGAGATTGGTTAGGGGGACATGCCAGGACTTCCAGGTCTCTTCTTCCTCTGGCTCTTGACCAATCGGGGCTCTTCTGGATGCCCCTAATCGGAGATCTTCTGGATGCCCCAAGGGGTTCTGAGGGTGGAACTCAGCCACCTGGACAAACTGCAATGGAGAGATGAGATATGGGAGCAGGAAGGCAAAGGTAGGGCTTAGACTGGTCTCCAACTGGCTTCTTGTGACCTCTCCCTTCTCTTGAAACTATAGAAATGACAGATTATGAGGGGGCCATGGGATCATTCAGAGCATTCCCCTGCCTGTAAATCAGTCAGATGGCCACGCAGTTTACTTCACACAGATAAGAGCCCCTGCTCTTCAGACCTCCATGCCCCCTTGTCTCCACTCTTTTTCAGTTCTTTCTTCTCCCTCTGGCACTCCCAGTGTTCTTCTTGCTCAGTACTACCTGGGAACCCCTTCATGCCCCTGTGAAATCTCCCTTCACAAATGACTTGTTTCTTTTTGAAGGTTCACAGTAAACTGGGATACAGTATCATGACCCTCTTCAACCTCCCAGTCTCCTTGGCCAATGATTTTAGTGGTCAGCCCCATTTCCAGAAGCCAGGGATGATCACCCTCCATCTACCCAGCTATCTGGTAAGATGGGAGAGGAGGCTGGGGCCGAAGGGGGGACTAGGGAACCCGAAGGCGGGGAAACCACTGACATCAGAAGCATCCAGAAATGGAAAGAGGGGGAACGAGGAAGAAGGGGGAGAATTTGAGCAGAAAAAGAAAAAAAAGAAGGGGCAAAGTGGTAGTAACTGAAAATAGAAGGAAAAGCCCAGAGACCCCTGGAGAGGAGGCTTGAGGGGGAGGAGGAGTTAGATGAAGGCAGGGAGCAGGGAATGGGGGAAGCTAACAAGAAAAGCCAAATGTTCAATAAGATGCTGACCCCCACTGGTGGACCTCGATGTTTTCCTCCCCTGGTCTGGAGCCTCAGTTTCTTCTATGATGGGAGGGAAGGTAGTCCTGAGCTTTGGTGAGCCCTGGGGAAGGGGCCACTGACGCCCAGAACAGAGGGGGAGCGGGGAGCCGTACGGATGGGCATAATGGCTTGGAATAAGTGAGAGGGAAATGGGGTGCAGCAGGGGGAGGGTCTATTTTCTGTGAAAGAACCTCAGACCCTTGCCTTCTCCAAGAGGTCCTAATTCACCCCCCACCTTTGTCTATCCTCCGGAGCCCAGTACACCCTAGTTGCCATAGCAATGGCCAGTCAGAGAAAGGTGGAGGGAATTGGTCAGGAGCGCCACCCCCACTACCCTCCCCAACAGCCTTGGACCCCTTCCCACCCATCCCCACCCAGGCTCAGCCGGTGGGCTCAGGAAGAAAGAGATGAGGAGTCCGAGAGGGAGGGAGACAGGCAGGCAAGAAGGATGTGAAGGACAGAGAGAAGGAGATGAAGGACAGAGAGATCAGAGGAAGGTGGGAGGAAGAATTTGGGATGGGGGTTCCAGGACAGACCGAGGGTCCTTCGCCCTTCGGGGTGAAGGGTTAAGGTCAGGTGGCTCCTCCCTCCCGCCACCCACCGTGTTCTCCGGGGCAGAAACAGCAGGTGGCTGGGAGGAGGGGCCGACCAGAGGGGAGAGGAGGCAGCTGGTGGGGAGTAGGGCGGGGGCCGGGGCAGGGGTCGTCTTACCTCTGGCTGCGCCCAGCACTGCCAGGGAGACCGCACTCCCGAGGCGGCTTGCTCGGGCTCCCGCCGCCTGCCGGCTCCAGAGCGTCGTCCTCCCTCCTCTCCTCCCTCCCTCCCTCCCTTTGGGCCTCCCTCCTCCCCCCTCAGTCCCAACGTCTCTGTCTTGGTCCCATCTCACTCGGTCTCTGCCCCTCTAGATCTCTCCAGGCCCCTCTCTGCCAGGGTCATCCCAACTGGTAGCCCTAGTTAGGGGCGCAGAAACAAAGCTTTTGGGGGGAGGCGGGGGAGGGGCATAGGGCGGGGAACTGGACGGTGGTGACTTGGAGGGGGAGGGGCAAGAAAGGCTCCGAGGATGGCGGGGAACTGGCTTCATGGTGAGATGGTCGTGTCCTGCCCCCACCCCATCCCGTTTTTTCAACACGAACACAAACTCAAAGAGGCAGCTGGTGTTGTTCGGTACTGAGGAGCTAGCTGTTCAGGGAGGAGGAAACGTGTGTCACTGTGTGTCACTGTGTGTATCTGTGTGAGGGCTGTCTGTGCCTTGGGTAGAACCCAGAGGGGCAGGTGCTGGAAGCGTGTTGGGAGTGAGGGGCTGTTATGATGTTGCTGGGACTGCATGCGGAGTGGGGGTGTGTGTGCACGAGTCTAAAAGGATGTGGGCATGTGGGCGCTCCTGTGCACACACACACACTACTGCTTCCTCCTCCTGGAATACAGACTCACACTTATACTGGGGATGCACAATTTGAATTCACACAGTTTCTCAAAGTCCTTTCTCCCCATCACACACATACACAGTATAATGCACACACAACCCCTACATTCTCTCTCCCAGTATATCACAAACACGTTATTTACAAACTCAGCTTTGCACACACACACACACACACACACACACAACCTTTTAGGGTGGGTAGGTAGAGAATCAGCCTCCAGGGAATTTTTCCTCCCCAAGGCAACTTCTTCTCCTCCTGGGACAGGCCTGTAACCTCTCTTGTGGATCTGATTATGATGATCAGGTTCCTGGTGTCCACAGTAGTGTTCTTCTGATTGGATGGCATGATCTGTTTGTCTTTTCCTCTCACTTGGTCTTGCTTGCTCCTTTCTCCACTTCCTCTGTCTCTCTTTCACACACACAGACAGTATGCACAGAACTAATCCCATTTTTCAGAGAGTTTGGGCCCTGGTAGAGTTAAACAGTATTAAAATGTGGAACGTAGTTCTGGTGTGGTGCTGTGATAAGCACTGGACGGCTAACTGCAAGGTCTACAGTTCAAATCCACCAACTACTTCTTAGAAACCCTATACCTCTAAGTCCATGGGACTTCACCACTACCACCACCAGAATGTGGAGCATCTTCTTTATGGTAAGTTTATTGCATTTTTATGTCAGCTCAGGGAGGGAGGGATGGGCGGTGGGTAAGGATTCAAGGTAGGCAATGGGGTATCCCTGGCAACTAATTAGGTGACTTTCCTGTAAGAGGCAAGCTGGACAGAAAGAGGAAAAAAGGAAGCATGGTACTGGGGGGAGGGGCATTGAGGAAGGGAGGTAAGAGAAAGGCAGAGAAGGCTGGGGAATCTTGTGAGAAATGGATCAAGAAGAGAAAGAAGAACACTTCTAATCCCATGATTCTTGTATAGGTTATGGTTGAGGGTCATCAAGGAGTGTTCTGGAGAGGAAGTCACAATGAGCCCCAGGGCTATCACATCTTCACAAAGAATCCCCTCAGGCCTTTACTCTCAGGCTACCCCTAACAAAGCTCACTTTCCAGAAGGTTCTATACCTGGTGAGTGGCAGGTCACTGGGCACAAGCTCTCACATGGCCTGTGCTCTCAACTTGTTCTCTAGGAGAACTAAAGACTTTTCCCTCTAGTAACAGGATTCTGCCACCAGCAGGTATTAAAGGAGGGATTTTAGGCAGGAAGGCCTTCCTTCATACTCTTGAATTCTGAGGCAGGCCCTCCTTATGGGTGGTGAGTGTCTGTGACCCAAAGCTGCAGAGCTCTGTGTGGTATTTGTCCCCGTGTTCAAGAAATAGCAGTGGGACTAGATTAGGGATCAAGAGACCTGGTTATTCTCAACTCCAGCACTTACTGTATGACCTTGGACAATTAGCTAACCTTTTTGAGTTCCATTTCTGATCTATAAACTGGACACATCCTGTCACTGTAAAGATTTTGGGATTTTCATAAGGGTCACATAGACAATGGGTTCAAAACTGGCTTTTAAACTGAGATGTGCTGCCTGGGTAATAAGGAATTGAGTACAACTGTGTGGCTGTATACATGGGGTATGTGTCCAGGGATGTGTGTTTATGTACAAGTCTGGATGTGAGTCCATGGCACTGCCAACACAGTGGCAGATAGCAGTCATAAGCCTTTGGTTCTAGATGTGTCTTGACTGGCTATGTGATTTTGGGTGAATCCTTTCCTTCTCTGGTCTCAGGGTCCTTTCTAGTGAAAGGACATTCTGGTGCTTTCCTGCTTCCAGATACCCATTCCAGATACCCAGTCTTGCACTCCATGCCTGGTAGGACTGGTCTTATGTGCTCCTCGGGGGCCAAGTGGGGGAGAGGGTCAAGAAGAAATTATCAAAGGTGGGCTAGGGCTTGAGAGAAAAGGAGATGGGGGACTAATGGCATGACTAAGCCTCTGAAAGGCTATGAGAAAGACCCAACCAATTGGGTTGGGGTCTAATCAAAAGTCTTAGGGACGGAAGAGGAGAAACAGAAGTAACTTGTAGATGAGGAGACAAGGAGATGGTCAGAGAGGCGCTGGGATAGGCTACATTCATCTGGTCCGCAACCCCCTAGAGCACAGCAGGAGACACAGGGGTGGACAACTGGGGAGGCTGTGAGTGGGAACCTCCCTCTGGCCTGGTGCCTCAAATGAGACTACGTGTCTTCTGGAACCGGCTGGAGGAACAAAGAATAAAGAGATCAAGTCTATTTCCCTGCAATCCCTTTGTCTCTGAGACCTCCATGACTCCCAGACTGCTTTTCTCTTCCAGTGCAGTGTGGTCTTTAGACCACAGCTACAGTGCCACATCCAGAAACAGCCCAGGCCTGCTGTACCTCCACTCCAGGGCTGACCCTTTCCTTCCTCCTCAGCCATCCCTTCCACTTAGTGTTCCATCTTCTCACCTCTATCTCTCTTTTCTCCTGCCTTCCCTTCTCTCTTCACCCCTCCCTCCTCACCTTCCCCTTTCCTCTTCTTCCCATCCCTCCTTTCTTCTTCCCTCTCATTCTTTTTCCCTCCCCTCCCTCCATTCCCTTGTCTTCCCTCCCAGTTCCTTACTGGGGACACTGGCAAGTCTTCTTCTCACTGAGGAGCCTCTTGATCTGAGACATCCGCTGTGCCTGGCGCTGTCCAGGGAGAAGGAGGGAAGTCGTGAGGGTCCCAGGCCTCCAGGAGGGAGGTGCCCCTTGGAGGGGGGAGAGGGGGAAGCTGGGAGAGGAGAAGCAGTTACTATAGCTGAAGCCATCTGTCCCATAATTAGCTTTCTGATCCTTCCTGCCTGTACTCGGCATTTGGGACAGGGCCCTGTCTCCAATGAGGAAAGTCTGGGCAGAGAGAACAGGACCAGAAGTAGATCATGTATACACGATACCCTTGTTGTTGCAGTTGGTTACGAGTTGGACTGCTAACCACAAGGTCAGCAGTTCAAATCTACTAGTCACTGCATGGAAGAAAGATGAGGCTTTCTGCCCCTGTAAAGATTTCAGCCTCAGAAACATTATACAGGGTCGCTATGAGTTGGAATTGACTTGTTCAGGTCTCAGGTACTTGAGGGTCCTGTGGGGGTAAGGATGTAGTTGCCCATGTTGGAGGGCCTGGGGAGACTCACTCACCCGCCGGTGCCGGCACCTGACATAGCAGACTATGCACAACCCAAGGGAAAACAGAAGGCCAAGGCCCAGCCCTGTAGCCAGAAGCACCACGAAGGACTCGAGGAACTTGTCTTTGGACAAAACTGCAAGAGAAAGAGGCATGTTCAGGTCAGTACTCTTCAACAGAGGCACAGCACACTCTGGAGGGTGGAAGGAGGGCTTGCCCAGCCTGTCCTTGGTCTAGAAGAGAGGGGTTCTAACGACCTCACGGGGGTTGGAAGGGACAGAGCTAGGGAAAGAGTTTATATTTTAGAGACTACTAGGTGCTCTGGAAAGCAATGGTTCAGACTGTGTGTGTGTGTGTGGTGTGTGTGTGTGTGTGTGTGTGTGTGTGTGTGGAGGGGAGCCAGAGAAGGTAGCTCTTGGTCTACAAGCCCCACACCTGGCTTGTAGACCTTGTTGTTGTAGACCTTAGGGAGTTGAAAACTCTGGGTCTTGGGCCACATATGTATAGTTTAGCCATCTCAGAGGAATTGGGAAATGTCCTCAGCCAGGCTTAGGAAGCTTCCTATGGCTGAGGAGGCAGAGGCTTGGGATTAGGTCATGGGAGCTGCATTCTTACCCTCAGTCTTGGATTCCAGCAGGATCTTGTCCTTGTCACTCAGCAGACACAACCATGTCCCTGCCTCAGGGTCCAACACCTGCACCATATTCTGCGGTTTCGAGATCTTTGCCGTCTTGTTCTCCAATTGCAGACTCAGGGTCATCGTGGAAGAGATGGGTCCCAGAATCTCACAGACCAAATTGTTTTGGGGCTGAGTCACTGCAGAGGGGTGAGAGGCTGAGACTGGGAGCCTGGACCTCTGGGTTTCCCACACTTCCAAATTATCAGTAGAACAATAAAAATTATGCTTTATACATGGATACCCTTCTCTTAACCTATCAGAGAACACTTTCATACTATTGTAATAGAAAAAGAACAACTTGTGGAACCCAGTGGTTTGGGGTTTGAATCTCAGCTCTATTGCTGACTAGCTGTGTGTTCCTGGGCAAGTTACTTAACTCTGAGTTTCAGACAATAATGATTCCACTTAAAATGCCTGGCATGTACAGAGCATCAATGTTAGCCATTGTTTTTTCTGGAGTTGTTGTGATAATTGAGGAGGTAAGGATGTGAAGAGCTCACCCTAGGGCTTGACATGTGCCATCATCATTACTATGTTAACAAGAGCTGATTGTGTTATCTTCATTTGGCAGGTGAGAAAGCAGGCCCACAATGAGTAGAGTTTACTCAGGATCACAGAGGATGAGCTGGGTAGAGATAGACCTAAAACCCTGGTTCTCAGTGGAAACAGCCCCAGGTTGACTCAGGGGTATCTGGGAAGGGCATGTCTAAATTCAGAATCATTCCCAAATCCAGAGGACTCTTGATCAACTTATCAGACTCCCAGGGTCCAATGCCAGTCAAGTCAATTCCAACTCCTACTCGATAGGGTTCTCAGTGTCTGGTTTTTTGGGGGAACTAGATTGCCAGTCCTTTCTTTTAAGGTGCCTCTGAGTGCATTTGAACCACCAACCTTTTGGCTAACAGCTGAGCATGTCAACCATATGACTACCCGAGGACTCCTAACCAATGTCAGACTCTTCTATAGTCTCTACTGCCTCAGTGGAGCTGTGGACCAGGCCCAGTCACCTCCCTTTTCTTCCCTCCCTGTCTCTGCTGGGCTCCTCACCGCTCATCACTACAAGGTTCACTTTCTGCTGTATCGTTCCCATGGCAAGATTCAGGATCAGGTTTCCAGAACCAGCATATTGAGGCAAGGCCTGAGGCAGGGTCAAGATGAGCGGCAACATCTCATTCATCTTGAACTTATCTATAACTGATGCCACAGACACCTTCTTTTCCTTCACGGAGAAGATGATCCAGGGCTTGAGGGAAGAAGTCCCCCTTTCCTGCCACCTCAGCTCTCCATTCAGATCTTCATCTTGGAAGTTAAGTGGGAAGGAGAATTGCACCTGCTCTCCATGTTTCTTATAGACTGTGTTAACGGCCTTCTGGAAAGCTGGAGGTGGGAGGGGAGAGAGAAAGAAAACCTTATTCAGATAGAGGCAGGAAGATGAGGCAAGGCAGGGTGGGGAGTTATGTAGTGGGGGTAGCAGAGGTGAAAGGGAGACCAGGATAAGCCCAAACACTTTTTCGGTTAGCATTTCAGGTTCTCTTCAATCTTCTTTCCTGTCTTTCCAACTCAACATGTTCCCAGCGCAGTCTCCCTCCTCCAGGAAGCCTCACAGAGCAGCCCAATTATAGGGGGACCTCTCCTTCCTCAGAATCCCAGAAACACAGAGGACATTTGACTTGCATTCCTTATAAGAAGCATTGATGATGTAACAGTTATGTACTTAGCTGCTAACCAAAACGTTGGTGGTTTGAACCCACCTAGTGACTCCATGGGAGAACGGTTACAGCAAAACCCTCTGATGCAGTTCTTCTCTGTCACATGGGATCACTGAGTCAGAATCAACTCAAGGGCACCTAACAACAACATCTTAGGTATATAATGTGCCATCCTTCACAAAATAAGAGCAAGCACTTAAATAGCACTAGCTGTGTGCCAGGCACTATTCTAAGTGTGTTACATATCTATGTATTTATTACTCATTTATTTCTTGCCATAACACCACAATATGGGTACTATCACAGTATCATCCCCATTTTACAGATGCAGAAACCAAGGCACAGAGAGGCTCAGTACCCAACTTCAAATGGCTGTCAGTAGAAGAGCCCAAACTTAAATTAGAGTCCAAGCACGAAACATACTCCATGACCTTATGTCACATATTGTTGTTGTTAAGTGCCCTCGAGTTGGTTCCGACTTATAGCAACCCTGTATAGGGTTTCCAAGGAGGAGCTGGTGAGTTTGAACCACCAACCTTGCAGTTCAAACTGACCTGTGGTCAAGTGCTTATCCTATGGCGCCACACCTGGACTTCTTATACCACATGAACACCTGGGAAGCTCAAGTTAGGGTGGGATCTGCATGCCTGGTTTTTTGTCTTTCCCTCAGTGCCTAGCGCACAGCTCTCCAGGTGCAATGTGGAATTTCATCAGGGCTTTCTTGCTGGTGTTAGTGACCCTGAGTAAGAAAATGTGCCAAATTGTGAGTGGTGGGGAATTAAGGCAATGAAGAAATGAGACAACCATGACACTTCCATTGGGACCTCCTCCAGGGACTTCTGGGGTCCCTCATCTTTACATCTTCCTCCCTTTCTTTCTCCATGCCCACCACTCCAAGGGTGGCTGTTGGTGGGCACCTTGAGGAAGAGTGGGTCAAGCATGCCCCTAAGGACAGACCTCAGCTCTAGCAGGAACCTGAACCTACCCCTCCCCGCAGCACCAGGCCTCAGAGCAGAGCAGTGAGAGCAGGAGGGTCTGTTAGGCCCCAGAGCTAGAGGGAGACTGCAGGGGGAGCAGAGTTTCTCTTACCCAGCACCAAGATGTTTACACGGAGTTCCAGAGTCTTCTGGTTCAGGGAGACAGTGCATGTCCAGGTGCCGCTATGCTGGGACCCCAGCCAGGATACTGGAAAACTCTTGAGATTCTTATTCGAATTTTTACTTTTATCCAATGGACCCTTCCATTCTACTGAGGGGTTGCTACCAGAGGGGCCCTCCAAGGTCAAGGTCAGGTTGTGTCCCTGCAGCAGGCGTACTCCAGGCCGGACAGTCACTGTAGGGAGAGTAAGACACCTATTTCTCTTTCTCTATCACATATCACTCCAAGAAACAGAAACCAAGAGCATCTCTAGCTGTGGCCTAACATCTCCTTTCCTCTCAACACCCAGTTGTTCATTCCCAATCCAACCCTCTCCTCTTCATCTTCCTCCTTCTCTCCCCTTCCCCATCCTCTTTTCTTCCATTGGTTTCTGCCTTTCTCTTTCCCCTTCTCTAGGCCCCCTTTCTCTCCCCTGTCTGACTCAAGGCCTGAGGAGGGTTTGAGGAAACTTGGCGGCTAGTCTGAACCATCTCAGGGTTGTTTAAATGCCACCAACTTAGGCCCTGAGATGGGAATAGAGGAGGAAGGGAGATGGGGCAGGGGTTTCCTCATCCCAGACCCTCCCCACGTACATTTAAATACCAGCAATTGAACCTCTTCCTTCTTGTTCTCTATTTCACAGATGTAATGCCCTGAGTCGCTCATCTGAAGATTATTGATGATCAGAGGAAAAGATCCTTGATCCCATTGACTTGGTCTGCATTCGAGACGATATTTCAGCCCAGTAGGACCTGGAAGTGGGAGCCACATGGAAGAGGTTGGAGAACTCCAGAGATGCCCCTGGTAGGGGCAAGATACACAACTCTTCTGATTTGAGTGACTAATTTCCTGCAGCATCTGTCCCTCATGATAATCAGAGAGCACCAGACTAGTGAAGAGGTCCCATTATATTAGTTTACTCAACAAGGACAATATTTTACTAATCCAAAGTAAAATGATACCTTTATTTTAGAGCATAGACTCCTATGTGCCAAGTACTTGACAAATATCATGTCAATTAATATTCACAGTGATTCCAAAAATAGGAGCTGTTTTTATTATTTTACAAGTAAGATAACTGAGGTTCAGAAATTTGAAAATTACCCAAATTCTTTTATACTATTGGTGAGAATATAAAATGTTATATCTCTTTGGGAAAGAATTTGTAATGCCTCTCAGAATTACAAAGGAATAACAGTGACACTATAGAATAAGCACTGGACTGCTAACCACAAAAATCAGCAATTCAAACTTATCCGTTCCTCCATTAGAGAAAGATGAAGCATTCTGCTCCTTAAAGATTTATAGCCCCGGAAGCTCTATATACAAGGTCGCTATGAGTTGGGATTGATTTAAAAGTACAGAACAACAACAATATCAGAATTACAAATACATATACAAAACTAAGTGTCCATGAGAAGGAAGGAGTCTTCACATCAAGTATCAATCCTATTCCCTCTAAATACAGGGTAGATAGGGACAGGTAACTTAGACATTGGCTACCTAACATGAGGGGGTGATAAAGGCTGGAAGTGACTGGCTTACAAGGTTTCAAGAGGGAGTTTAGTTTAACAGTGTGCAGGAGAAGGTAGAATTCCCACTGAACAGTTTTCATCTTGTCTAGACGGAGCTGGTGAAAAGAGGTGAGGATAAGATTTTAATGATTCAATAGTGAGAAATTGTTATCATGACTAATTGCGACTGTCACATTGTAAAGGTAGAAGTTTTGTAACAAAAAGAAGGGAGTAGTTAATCTTACAGTCCAGGGACAGAGGACCCTAGGGCCATCAAGGGAGATGAGCACTAGCGGAATGCAGGACCCTATCCAGAGAAGAGATGAGAACATGGAGAGAGGGAGTAGCTGAGTACTCTAGATTCGTGGAAAGAGAAAGGCTGTGTACTGGCAGCCAGGAGGCAGGCTTGCAGAATGTGTCCTTTGGTTGTTTAAATAATTATATATTCCTGAGTGTTTTTGAGTATGTCTTCTCCCCATCCCACCCCCCCAAAAAAAAACACAGTGGGAATAGAATCAAATACTGTTGAATCATGATTCATGGAGGAGATTGTAATCATTGCAATTAAATTATGAATATAAAACCGATGATCTCCCATGTAAACTATCACTCAATTCACAATAAAAAAACCTAAAAAAATCCTGAATGTCCACCAAGAAAAGAAGGGATAGTTAAATAAATTATAGTTCACCCATTCTGCGGAATATCATGCAATCAAAGAAAAGAATAAGAAATCTCTTTATATACTGATAATCTGTATGATACATTATTAACTAAAGTAAGGCATTAAACAGACTATATACTATGCAACTATTTGTTAAAAAGGGAAAGGAAATATATATATAAATTTAAAGGAGTCCTGATGGGGCTGTTGGATAAGCACTAGATGTTAACTGAATGGTCAGTGGTTCATACCTTCCAGCCGTTCCTTAGAAACCCTGTACAGGGTCACTAACAGTCATATTCAACTTGACGGCATATATATATATATATGGGTTTGCGTGTCTGGGTGTGTATATATATATAGTTATTGTTGTTGCTAAGTGCTGTGGAGTCCGTACCAACTCATAGCAACCTTGTACAGGGTTTTCAAGGAATGGCTGGTGGGTTTGAACCACTGACTGTGTGGTTAGCAGTCCAGTGCTTATCCTATAGTGTCACACCAGGAGTCCAACATATATGTGTGTATAAGTTAAAAAGTATTGCTAAAAAATAATCATAGAAACTTTTATTTAAAATATCCAAATGTGAAGCTGTTGTTTTTTTTGACATTTCCTCCATCCCTATACTTCTGAAGGTTGTGTTTCCATCTCTCTAACCCTTTTTGGCATCCTTGAGAGACTCAGTCATATTCCTTTTAAATGTTCTTTGAATTTTTAGACTAAAAGAAGTCTGAAGGGGCAAGATCAGGGCTGTAGGGTAGATGGAATAAGGTTTCCCAGTGAAATTCTCATAGGATAGCTCTGTTACCTTTGAAGAATGAACTGGTACATTTAATTCATGATGGGGAAAAATGTCATAGTGCAACTTTCCTGGCCTTTTTCTTATCATTGCAAGTTGTCAATTTTATGAAAACGGTTTTCAGTTTTCTGAAAACTTTTTCATAATAAGCCACCATGATTTTACCTTGTGTTCTTTGAGAAAATCTATCAAGATTACTCCTTTGAAGACCCAGAAAACAGTTGCCAAAACCTTCTGAACTGACTTTGAATTTAACTGGCCCAACAGATTCTTTCTGAAGGCATTGTTTTGCTTGGACCTCTGATTTGCATTGTTAAATCCAAGACTCATTTCCAGTTATCATTTGTTCCATAAAATTGTTTTCATTAAAGTTGATCTTTCTTAAAAGACTAATGGGAAAATCAACTATTTGAGCTAACTGATCTTGAATCAACACTTTTGGTGCCTGCTGAGTTGAAAGCTTGCTGAGGCCAAGATGATGGCTTAAAACTGAAAATGCTAAACCATTTGAGATCCTAAGTCAGTAGCTATTGCATCACTGGTAATCTCTGGTTTTCTTCCATCAGTTTTTTAACTTCAGCCTCAGTTTCTTATTTCTTATTTCATTGAAGCTGATGGTCTTACCTCTCTTGGCTCATCTCTGAGGTCTTCCAACCTTCCTTAGAACTTTTGATCCATCAAAAAAACTGTTGTTTTATGTGGGATAGCATTCCTGTAAATCTGTTGCAAAACCTCAATGATTTGGGAAAATGTCCACTTAAGTTTCATTAAAATTTTTATATTGGGACTGACCTCAAATTCTCATGGCAGAAAAAGTATATATATTTAAGGCACCCTAGTGGTTACGAAAAGGAGCTCTGGTAGCATAGTGGTTACAAATCGGGATGTGAACCTCAGGGTCAGCAGTACGAAACTACCAGCGGTTCCGTGTGAGAAAGATGAGGCTTTCTGCTCCCGTAAAGATTTACAGCCTCGGAAACCCTGTACAGGGTCGCTATGAGTCGGAACCGACTCCACGGCATGTAACAACAACAACAAAGTGGTTACGAATCGGGCTGTGAACCTTAAGGTCAGCAGTTTGAAACTACCAGCTGTTCCACGGGAGAAAGATGTGATTTTTTCCACTTAAAAAGATTTACAGCCTTGGAAACCCTGTAGAGGGTTGCTATGAGTCAGAACCGACTCCATAGCACACCACCAACACCACAAGGACTCCTGGTGTGACCCTTTAGGATAAGCAGTGGACTGGGAACCACAAGTTCAGTAGTTCAAATCTACCAGCTGCTCACTTCAGAAGCCATATACAGCATAACTATGAGTCAGAACTGACTCAACAGCATTAGCAACAAGAACAAGGGGACTAAGACAAATATATTACTGAGAACTTGTCTTCAGCCATCCACTGATAGCAGAAACAAGTTTAAAAATACTTTGTTTGGAATAAAGCTGGGCATGTACGAATTAGAACCCTATGGTTTTTTTTTGTTTTTTTTTTTTTACTTATTGTTGTGTATATATATATATACATACATACATGTCTCTACAGATGATTCCCAATTCAACATTTCAGTTCTGGGCCCACATTCCCAACAGCCCAAGGATGAATACTCCAGATTCAACAGATCCCAAACGAAATGTATCATGCTCTCCCTAAAATGATTCTTCCTTCTTGCTTCCTTTTTTCTCTTATGTGCCCCACCATGACTCACTAATTCGGGCTGTCTAACACTTTGTAAAAATGATTGCAAGATGGTGTAACTGGTCTGAGTCTGGGTGAATCTGGGATAACTTCATGAGGGACACCAGTATTAAATGGAGCCTCCAGTAAAATGTAGGCACTGACCTAGAGGAAAGGAGAACAGCAAACACATGCCAGGAAGGGGCCGGAATGCTTCAGAAAAATACACAGGCAAACTGTGAGGAAACCACCTAGGAGTAGACATTTCTGGCTGGAAAGCTGTGGGAAGTGATACTTAGATTGTGATGTCCTCCAGAGACATCTAGGCTTGGTCTAATGTGTTAGGGAGTGATGTCTGTAAAGTAGTGCTTTGGAATGCAGTACTGTTCAGGTGGAAGAAAAATCAAAGTAGGAAAGAGTGATAGAACGAACAGGAAGCTTTCACTGTAATCCAGGTGAAAGGCAACACTTGACTAGTGATGGCAGCATTCCTATCACAACGAAGAAAAGGGTGAAACAGAAAAACATTTTCAAAGGGAGGAATGCTATGGGTTGATGGGAAGCCAAGAATTAAAGAGAAAAAAAATGTGTGTGATTTAGAAATTGGGGGAACCAGGAGGGTGATGCTGCCATTGTCAGGTCAGGAAGTTGGGAAACAGAGCTGTTCTGGAGGAAGATTGAACCATAGAAAGATAACAAAAGCATTTACACAAAAGATTGAAGAATTTTTGGAAAGTAGCACATTGTTTCAGTCCCACAGTAGATCAAAGAAATGCAAATGAAGACATCAATGATATATTTTTCAACTATCAAATTATTAAAATGTTTTAAATAATAATAGTACTGGCAAGGGTGCCAGTGACGGAGGCACCCAGTGACATTCACTAGATTTAGTGAACACGGATATAGCCTTTCTCTTCATTTTGTAATTTTGCAATACATATCAACTATTTTGAAAAGTTCATATTCTTATTTTCATTTTAGTCAGGCAGCAGACTGCTGGCTTACTTCCTAAGAATTGAAGGTCATGTGATGACCTTTAGAGTAAACTAAATACTTTATTATTTAGAGTAAGTGAACACCACACCGCCGAAAAAAA